ACTGAGCATCAACTAAATACCCATCAAGCTGGTAAGGGAGAAGTCAACTGCGGTGCTGTTAAGTGATGGAATCTATGCACAGTTAAGATAGTTAAGGTCTAAACGTATCAACGTGGATATAGAAAGTAATGGAAAAAGCAAATTGTAGAACATTATGTGTTATTTATAATGACTTAAAACTGTACAAACCCCACAGATGGTGTGATACGGTCCATATTATAATTAATAAATAATATAGTAAAAGGAAAAAATAATAAGATAAACTCTAATTTGTTTTTTAAGTTCTGATTATAGTTGTCTCTGGGGAAGGAGAAAGGGGGATTGGGACTGAGAGAGGGGTCCATAGGGGACTTCAACATTGTAAGTGCTGTTTTGATTTTCATTAGAAGATAAAGCAAATAAATTAAAATGTTAGTGTATTTCACTTTTGAGTGGAGAGTACACTGATTTTGTCATATTGTTCTTTCTGCATGTCAGCAAGAAGGTTGTTTTGCTTTCTTATTATTTGTGTGTTCATTAGAATTTTTAATTTCCTTCAAGAAATTTTCTTTGTATTCACAACTTGGCTGTTTGGTATAAGAGGCCAAGCTTTTGGCCCATCCTTGCTTTTGACACACCTTCCTCACTAAGCTGAATCATTTTTAGCTTTTGATTTAAGGTGAGAGACATGCGCCTTTTCCTTTCACACCAACACCTCAGAGGCCATTGCAGGGTTATTCATTGGCCTAATTTCAATATTGTGTTTCAGGGAACAGGGAGGCCCAAGAAGAGGGAGAGGCAAGGGAACAGCTGGTTGGTAGAGCAGTCAGAACACACATATTTGTTAGGTTGCTGTCTTCTATATGGGTGCCGTTCATAGCACCCCAAAATAATTACAACAGTAACATCAAAGATCACTGATCACAGATCACCGTAACAAATATAATAATAATGAAAGAGCTTGAAACATTGCCAGGATTACTTAAAGGTGACACAGAGACACAGAGTGAGCAAATGCTGTTGAAAATATGGTGCTGATGGACTTGCTGGAAGCAAGGTTGCCACAAACCTTCAATTGGTAAAAAATGCAATGTCTGCAAAGCATAATAAAGCGGAGTGCAATGAAACAAGGTATGCCTGTATACAGAAAACTTAAGAAACAAAAATGGCTAATAAACACGTGAAAAATTGTTTAACCTCACAACTAATCAAGGAAATGTAACTTAAAACTAGATATTTTTCATCCATGAGATGCACAAATACAACATTGCTGTTTTATTCCTTGTCTTAGTTTGGGCTGCAGTAACAAATTACCATAGACCAAGAGGGTTAACCAACAAACCTTTATCTCTCACAGGTGTGGAAGCTGGGAGTCTGAAATCGGGTTGGGTTATGGGTGAAGGCCCTCCCCTCTTCTGGGTTTATAGATAGACCTCTTGTGTCCTCACAGGGTGGGAAGCAGAGAAGCAGCAAGCGCTTTCAGGGGCACTCATCCCATTCATGAGGGCTCCACTTTCATAACTTATTTCCCAAAGGCCTCCCCAGCTAATACTACCACATTGGGGGTTAGGATTTCAACATAGGCCTTGGTACGGGGAGTGGAGAGGGGGGACACAAATACTTAGTCCATAACAGTCATCTAATGCTGTATAAACAAAGCACTCCCAAAGTGTCTTTTTAAAAATCAGTTAGCTATAATGGTTTTCTGGGCATTAGGAATTCAGTAGTGGTTGGGTTGGCATTTCCATTTCGAGGCGTCTCATTCTCATGAAGCTAGTCACTGAAGGCTGGAGAATCCACTTCTGTGGCTGGAAGATTGGTGCTAGAGGTTGGAGGGAGCCTCTGGTCCTCCCCACAGAGTGGCCTTAGGGCATGGCAACGGATTTCCTCCAGAGTAAGCAATATTAGCAAGCAAGGTTGTTTATGATAAAGCCTCAGAAATCCCACATGGTCACTTTTACCATATTCTATTGGGCACACAGGCCAGCTCTAATTTAGCATGCAAGGGACAACACAAACACATGGAGGCAAGGCTCATTGAGGGCTGGCTACCACAACTACAATATGTGGTTTTGGCAAGAATGGGAGGAAATGGGTGCTCTCGAGCACTATCACTGAAGTGTGTAAACTGATGTACCTCCTTTAGAAAATGATGGGATGGTAGACAGGTTAAGATTAAAAATGCACATATCTTTGCATATATTCTGTGTGAAAGAAATATGATGTTCACTGCAGTAGTGTTTGAAATAAAAAAGGGAAAAACTTAAATATCTGTAAATAAGGGAATAAAGGAGTTAAAAAGAATGTGGCAGATCTATGGCCAACCATGTAAAGATTTCTTTAGACACGTTGTTAAGAACACAAGCAAAGAAAATACACTTCTACTTACATAAAAAGACAAAAACCCAATACATGAAAACTGATTTTGTGTGTATGTGTACATGTATGAATACAAAAATCTCCAGGAAAGCTCTGGAAAAACACATGTAAACATTTTTGGCGGTGACTCCTGTAAACGGTGTAGTATGGGGAGCACTTTTACTTTATTGTCTTGTTTGAATTTTTTAACAAAAATGGCTTTAACAATTTAAACATTTAAAATCAGTAAATAACAGACTTCGAGAGACAACCCAAAATGCTCTCTCCCAATAAAGAATATGGGCTTCAGTGGTTAGACTTTATGATACTTATTTTAGCCCCTCAGAGGCCCTTCCTGGCTAACTTATGGATTTCTAGTTGCTGCTGCAACTGTCGGAACAAGTCTTTAGAAAATTAAGAGAGCAAGGTCTCACCTTCTGAGTCTGTATTCATTGTGGTGTTTTAATGATAGGGAATGACATTAAAACGCTGCTGGCTCCTCTTAGCCTCTCAGTTTCAAAATACATACAATGTCACTAGGCCTAGCACACGATGCCACTATGATCGAATGAGACACTCAAGTCATGGGCACTCATTAGACACTACAAAGGTGACCATTATTAGTTTAGGTCCATTCCAAATCTCTTATCAGAAATAAAGCACTGTTTTGGTCCATATAAAGATGTGACGGTAATACACGCTAAGTGGAATAAAACCAATCATGACTTGTGTTGGTTTATTCTTATTCTTTTCCCCCCCAAGAGTGTTTAAGGAAGGAATGCCACCTGAGTCAGTTATTAGCTTAGAAGAGTGTATTCACTTGGACTATAAAATCAACATACAATTTATTGTTACAGAGGGAAAAAATTATTTAAAAAATTTTCACACAAATGCCAAAGCATCCATATCTAGAACAATCTGTCATCAAATTACAATAAATTTGTTCTCCAGGAAAGCTTACCTATAGGTAGAAAAATCGCTGATTCTGGTATCAGTTTTAACATCTCAACTCGAACATTCCTATCGAAGTATCTATTCGTGAAACACCCACTAGAACAGCAACTCATTGTTTAGACAGGTCATTTAACTTCTCTGGGTTTGAGTTTCCTCAGGGAAAAGTGGAGTCCGGGTGAGATGATCACCAACAACCTTTCCTATTCCAAAAGTCCACGATAAACTGTTCTCTAACCCTCCTTTAACGTGAGGCACTTCTCCTTGTAAACTGATAAAACTCACGATTTTCTCAGTTGTAGCTTCTTGTTCATCTTGAGAATGTGAATTCCAGCACAGATACTTTTTTAAACCGCCCTCCACCCAAACTCACTGTAACCAAAAGCAGACTGTAAAACCAGAGTAGAAAGCTGCTCAACCAGACAGAGTCCGTTTCCAGAAGGTGGTGCAGTTACGCCCCCAGTGCTCTGGCATTCACTCTAGGCATAAGGCACCATGTACTCCTAAGTGAGAAGATCCTAAAGGACTGCTACATAGACTGAGCTCTGATATTAGTGCCACTGTGAGAGGGGTCTGCCCGATCAGCCCTTCTTTGCCTGTTCCTTCGGCCTTACCAGTTTATCGTCACTTAGCTTTATACATTACCGAGAATCGTTTTGCTCTGTAATTTCTGCACTATTGCCAATATTTTCTGTACAATACAGTATCTATTATCATGTACCAGGTACCCTCGGGGTTGAGGCTCTCATGGAATACGTTTAAGAAAAGTGTGCAGCTACTTTTCCTCTTCAACATTTCATCTCTATAAAAATAAGACATTTGAACTTGAATCATTTTTCTTACAGCCACAGTAAAAATTAGAATGTACTCTTTTCACAGCTGAGGAACATTCCGTCGAGACTGACATTTTTCTTACATCTTTATGCTTGCCAATCTCTAGGTTTTCTCATGAGGGTTAGGGAGATTGGGCCACCTGCTCATCACAGTACTCATGTGCCAGTACCAGACACCTCAAGACAGGTAAAAAGTCAAGGCTCTCCAATTTTGTATTTGGCCACATATGAAGCTATGCTCAACTCAGGAGAATTCCAGAAAACTTTTTAATATTCAAGACTCCTACCTTTAGAGGCATGAACATTTTTTTGAAATGTAACTTTTTAGCAAGAAACTGATCCTCAACAGTTTGACTACAAGGAAAAAGCAAATATAAGACCTTTGTTCAGGATCTTAGTGCATTTTTAATAATGCACACAAATGTCCTACTGAGTTGCACAGGGTGAGAATCTGAGAATGTACTTTTCTTGTATGAAGAGTTGAGAACTCACTTTGCAGAACATCACAAAGAGTGAGAGTACACGAGCTGTGTCCTCCTCTCCTCTGCCTCCTTTGGTGCTATCACAATGCTTGCACAAACGCTTAATAAACGGTCACTAAATTCAACTGGCGAGGTTATATGGACGTACCAAAAACTCTTGATTAACATATACTGTACAATCTAGTTACATAGTTTCAAAGACAGGAACAGATCTTTATTTAATGAGGTAGATAGAAATACTCAAAAGTAAACTCAAAACGTCCACACATGGATTTATAATGTATTTCTGAATATACGCAATAAATGTTTTCATAACTCTCGTCTATTCCAACAGTTTTCAGTGTTTAGCATACTTATTAAAGATTCTTATTTAGCCAAAGTAAACACTAAAATGATATAAGGCAAAATAATTCATTTTATTTCTTAAATGCCTATGTATTTACAATCATAAAAATGTTCATGCATTGTAACTTACGAGATACTATACTTTCACATTTATTAAAAATTAAAAATCTTAGGAAATCTAATTATTTATGAAGAAATTAATGGCTGATCAAAAAATGTCATATAACTATTATTAGCTTAAGATTATATCATAATCATGAATAGCATTTCATCATGAATACCTTCATTTTACTTTTAAAACTATACTTTTTAGTTTTTAGATTAAAATCTCAAATTGAGGCAATAAGACTTTACTTCAAATTACAGTCACATATGGAAGGGAGCTTTTAATTCAAGGTTTCATTATGGTCCATAGTATAAAGATATATTTTCATGAGGGGTACATGATGGATAGCCAGCAAAAGAAATATGCTAGCAGAGGGTAGTAAATTGCCAACTAAGCATGCACTGAACCAAGAGACTACTTTAGAACATGGTAAGTCCTTGATTATTGCCAGCTTTTCTATAATGTTCAGGTTCTCAAAGGTCACTGAATTTTATAATTATCTCCAAACAATTTTCTTCATGGTCATTTAAGCTTTGTCTAAACAGCTGGGTATGTTGCCAAGCAACACCACCATCTCCTCTGCTTAATTTTGCTTCCAAAATAACTTCAGTGGCACCAGAAAAATCATGATAGGAGTGAAGAGTTTTATCTGTTGGAGGAAAAAAAAATAATTAACACTTTGCTTTTAGTAACTTAAAGAATATAAAGAAATAGTTTTGGAATACATAGTTTATACCTAACCTGTAGGTACAATCAACCCTTAAAAAAATAAATATAAATTATTCCTTATAGAGGAAGTATGTCCTTTGAAACAAAGAAATGGCTTTTCTTCATCCATTTGTGTTTCACAATAAAAACCACAAACAGTTCTATTAGAATGAGGTTATACAAGTTTTAATTTTATTTATTTATTTATTTTGGTGCAGTAGTATGAATGACTCTTGGGTATGAAAAGCTCAAATAAGTGCAATTATTTTTCAGAGTGTTAAATATACTCATCATGATTAATTCTTCAGTCAAATGCTTACCGCCTGACAGTTCTACTTGGGCTGTTTCAGATCGCAATTTCCACTGTATTGTTCCAGTCTGAAAGGTTTGACTACTTGTTCTAATGGAAATGCTATCTACTTTTAGGTCAACTGACCCACACTCAAACTTCCAGGAAATATAAGCATAAGATGATCCTTCCCTTCGGGCTAAATATACCTACAAAGGAGGAGGAGAACAAAGAATTGTCACAAATAATAAAACAGTGCAGAAAACACATATAGTCAAAGTCTTACTGTCATAGGGTACTATACACAAACGATTATTAAAAACCTAATTTCTTCCCCACTGAGAAGATTTTTACTGTTAACATTTTGCATTTTATCAGCAATTTTTCCTATAGTGTATTTTGCTCTGGAAGAAAGATACTTGGATACAGGTGCCCCGATAAATATAGCGCTAAGGGGTAGATGCTAACCACATTTTAGTAAATCATATTTTCTTTTAAATTAGTTAAGTCCAGCTATTTAACATGAACTTTATGATGAGTCCTGCTGAAAATGAAGAATCCTCTTAAATGCAATTATTCTTTATCTTCTTTTCTAAGTCTGGATTTTTAGATAAGCTTTCCTAGAACGAGATGGGCCATCTACCTAAGTTAAGAAAATAACTCAGTCATTGTTAAGTAATGGTTTAAAATGTAGTATTCATGCTGTCTCTCTACATAGTATGCTCCCATTCTTTCACTATCAGTGACCCTTACCACTTTAAATATATACTATTTAAGGCATCCAAGTTTACTGGCTGCTTCCAGCTCATCTCCTCTCATAGTTTCAAGTACATTCTTGAAGATGTGGACGTGAACACTGACATCCACAGCCTTGGTCTTTCACAGGTAACTCCATTCACCCAGGCCCAAGCCCCTAAAAATTTGACTCTTTAATCACTTATCCCTGATGCTCAAACTCACACAATAACTCATGCATTTCTTTGAAATAAATCTCAAAAAAACGCTTTCCTTATTTATACCACACTTACCACTATAGTCATGACTTTATGCTCATCTTTCTCCAACTGCCTAATTAATCTTTTTAAAAGCCCACATCCTTCCTATCATTTGCATGGTCTAGAATGTACAGCAAGTAACTGTCTTGAGCTTAAAATCCGAACTCTCAGCTTTCACAGTCCTTCAGAATTTCACACCATTGTGAACTGCCAATAATTCTTTACCCAAATGTAACTTGTATCAGGTGTATACTTAGTATGATCTTAACCAAATCATAAGTTTTCTGGGGGCACAGGCTCTGGATTCATATGGGTTTAATAAATAGTATTTAAGTATTAAAAGTTTGCATACACACATATTCTTTTAGAAACCTCTTACTTCTTGGGACAAATAGAAGTACCATATGATACATCTGCCATGGAAATGTCCTACTACCTGTTTTTAGTCATCAAGTAAAAAATCAATCACTGCTAGCATTCTATTGATAGTCTATTCTATTTCACAACCTATAGTTTTTCTTCCAGGTTAAATATGTCAGCTAATTTAATTGGAAAGTTTTTAGAATCAGTGAGCTGGAAGTTATCAACAACTAAAAACAATCACTCCTCACGGAAAATGATTTAAACTCTTTAGACTAGATTGCACTGGATGGCACACCTAGACGTATGGAAGTGCTGACTGCTCCACTCAAGTTTAGGGCAATCTCACTATAAACTCCTCTAATGCCCACATATTCCCACTGCAGTGTTTCTCCTACACCTGGGGCTGAGGACTGACCAGTGCCCCCTGGGAGTCACTGGTTCCATCTATCCTAAACTACTGGCCGTCTACGGATTACCTGTAATTTAATTACTACTTCAAAACCATGCCTAGTAAAGGGGATTAACTGGAAAAGATGAGCCAAACAGTAGGGTTATTGGAAGAAAGGTGGTTGGAAGAAACTAAAAGAACTGGGGAAAAGTAATCTTAAGACAAATACATTCAGATTTATATCTCAGTATATACTTTTTTACGTCTTATATCTTTTTTAGAGTTCAGTAGTTTCAAATGATCCCCTCCCCCTAAAAGTGTGGGTATAAAATATGACAGATTGAAGTCAGGTTAATTTCAAATTCCTAGCTTACTCCCAGAATTGTCTTAGTTATACCACATGGGTCTGGGCCACAGCTGTGGTTTTAACTGTCATAAGAAGGTTTATAATAGCTGTTGAACATGTCTGAGACAATTGCTTGTTCTAAAATTTACATTTTTCAGTCGTAAAGGCATCAGTTTTTAAGACTCTAAAAAGTTAAAGGATAGGATAGAATTCATCATGGAATTCTTAAATGCTTAAACAAACATTCAAACACATTGTGAGCAAATAAAAGGTCTCTTAGGCTAAAGAAACAGTATATGGAAATAAAAGACTCTATTGATACTGAAAATTCATGTCATCTTTTTCTCACAATATATTGTCTGTACCATTTTAACCAACTAATTTTAACTCAGCATTTCTGGAGGTAGAAGCTATCAAGAATATGTATACTCAGTTTGATAACTGAAATGTGCCCAAACAGTAAGATTTATATAAATACCCAACTGTAGTCCTTTCTATGTGTAATAGCAACAGAACCAGTAATTATAATTTATTTAGGAGAAAAAAAGTACTTTATAAACTTTCAAATATTCAATTGTTTGGTCTAGAGAAAGAATTTTTTTTTTTTTTTTTTAAACTATTGGATGTTCCTTACTTCTTGGGTTATCTTAGACAAATTTTTGGCTGTCGGCTGTTTAATTCATCGGTGCCATTTACTGTGTGCAGTTCTATAGGCTTGCTCTTGCAGTTTCGGGGACTACCAAGAGCTACCTTACTTTAGCAGCAGGAAGAGTAAAATCAGAAGTCATGGAGTTTACCCCTACAGACTTGAAATCTATACAGCACCCCACCCCCTCCCTTTAGTGACCCATCCCTTCCCTTTTTTTGGCAACTGTAAGGCATACAGTGCAGGCAGATCACAACCTATGGGTGACAATGAGACCAGTCTGTGTATGGCTTAAGGTCTCAGCTATGCCATTAACAATGCACACAACGCAAACTTATCCTTTGGATTATGGCTGTGACCACAATTTTCACGACTGAGAACAATATGCACATGAGCTTCTTTATGTTTTATGTTTTTCACATTCTAGAGAAGATCCTTACTTAAAGATTTTCTGATTACTATATGCCACGCTGTTCTGTCCACTGCTATGGTTTTCTGGAGGTTTGGTTTGTACTGCACTGTTGAAGCTGTTCTTTGCTCTGCTCTTAAAATGATTTTTCTGCTTAGCCTGTTAAGATTAACTCTAGTTAAAAAAAAAAAATTAACAAGTTTACTGTACAACAGACACTCTGCACATATTCCTACACATATCTAGCAGAACTGCATTTCAATAGATTTTAATTTTTTTTTTTTAAAGATTTTATTTATTTATTTGAGACAGAGAGAATGAGAGACAGAGAGCATGAGAGGGAGGAAGGTCAGAGGGAGAAGCAGACTCCCTGCAGAGCAGGGAGCCCGATGCGGGACTCGATCCCGGGACTCCAGGATCATGACCTGAGCCGAAGGCAGTCGCTTAACCAACTGAGCCACCCAGAAGCCCCTAGATTTTAATTTAATGCTAGTAAATTGGTATTGCTCATGATTGTTTTTGGTTATTCCATTTTATCACTGAAATCAAACATGTCAGTCCCCACTGTATTTACATCTTTCCGTATTATGCTTATTTTTTCTATTTGTAGCCTCCGTAATTACCTCTGGATCATGAGTGTGATCATGTCCTTCCCTTGCCTGAAATCTTTCATGGTTTCCTATTACGTAACTGCAAGGTAATCAAAGTCCCTGGGACCTGACCACTGTTTGCCCCTCTAGTCTCATTTCCCACTCTTCTCCCCCGTATTTCCTACTACATACTCTTCCCTAAATATACCAGACGTTTCTCACCCCAGTGCTTTTGCACATGCTATATCTCCTGCTCCCTTCTTCTACATCCTATCTCCACACTGAGAAACTCTCCCTCTGCCTCCTTCTCCAAAAGCCTATTCAGGTATTACTTCTTCTGCAAGGTCATCATCTCTGACTCAAGAAGGGATAGTGGCTCTTCATTCTGTCTTCTTTCCCTTAGAGTCATATACAGATCCATATTCTTCTAGCACTTATCTCACTAATCTGAACAAGTGGTCCACATGTCTTTCTCCTCCAGTAGTCTATGCTCACCTTGAGGCTCGACTCCTAATTTATCATTACATCCTAAGGGCCAAGCACAATGTCTGACAATGCATGTTTACTGAATGACTAAATGAATCAATTCTTGACATAATGCCACACCCCAAAAAGTGCTAAAGTGACTCTAGTGACAAAGATGACACTTTGCAAGAAGTACCTAAGGACATGCCAAGGGATAGTCTGAATGAAGACAGAGTATCTTTGACATTCTACACAGTCTGAGGGTGGTATAGAATTTATGCCATATGCATTCAAACATTCTTTCTTATATTCAGCAATCTTTACTAAACATTTATCAGGCACTATGCTAGACATATGCATACTGAGAGTACAAGTGAGTAAAAAAAGACAAAGCCTTTTCTTTGAGAATGCTTACAATTCTAGTAGGACAGAGACAAATAATCTATTCTTACACAAATTTGTTAAATAAATGTCATGAAGGAGAGGTACATGTACAATGAATAAATAAAGGGGGAAATGGATCCAGTTAGCTGGGACTAGAGCGAGTGAGGCTTATACCAAGTTCCAAGCAAAGGAATAAGCGAATCTAACACAAAGGAAAGTAAAAGGGGTTCTGTACAGAAGGAAGAAGGGCAGTGCCACTGCAATGTAGAGCAAGGGGGTAGCATGGTGCAAGGCAAGGCCAGAGAAGAAGGCAGAGGCCAGACTCAGAAGAGACTTGAGCTATTTCTTACCCTACGAGCACTCAGTAATGACTGGGGTTTGGAAAATGCTTTTCTGGCTTAACAGCATGGAAAACAACTGTGAGATGCAGGAAGACTAATTAGGAAGCTATTAACACTTTTATCAAGGTGTTATCATTTGCCTCCTAAAAGATATATTGGTCTTCTTGATTCAGCTTTTTATATTCCTTCCAAATAAGACATCACTGAACAGTGTATTTGCCAAACAGTAACATTTAGTAAGTCTCCCTGTTCTTGGGAGGCTAACTCTTTGAGAGGGTAAGAATCTGTTCTAAATATCTGAGGGCAGGCTGCATGTGATCTGTCATGATTCCAGGCTGGAGGTTACTGAGGAAAGGTGTGGTGGGAAATAGGCTTCTTCTATTTAGTGGAGCTAGAGAATCCCTAATTGGGAACATGCTAATACAAAACTAAAAATATTGACTTAGGTGGAAAATTCAATGTTTCAATGGCAATATATTACTTCTGAGTTATTAGACTCTGTAAGTGTAATTAAGATTCTAATATTTTCTTCATATTATAACTCGAAACAGAGTCATTCAACTTCTAAGTGATGTCCTTTGTACACGTATATCAAGGCATAAACTTAAAATTGAGTGGGAGCCTGTTTTTTACTTAATGGCCTCTGCATCTCCTTTACATTATTTAACTCTTACTCATAAATATACCGTCTGGCCACAATGGTCTATTCAGAGAACTCCAAAACATGCCATGTACTGCATGCTTTTCCCCTACTGTTCCCTTGCTTTATGAACACCTACTCATCCTTCAGCGTCCAGCTCAAATGTCGCCTGCTCTGCGGAGCTTTCCCCAACTCCCACAGCCAGAGCTAATTACTCCCTCCTTGGTGTTTCCATAGCAATGTGTTGATATCCTTATTATAGCACTCTGCATCGTGGATAAGATGGCTGTTTATGCTTCAGCTTCCCCTGTTAGATTGTGAGGGCAGAAACCGTATCTTTATCTTTTTATCCATGTAGCTGAGAACAACGCCTGACATAACAGGCGTTCAGTACATGTTTGCTGATGAACAAATGAGTAAGACAGAGAAGAAATATCCCATAGAATCGATCTGTTTCTCATCACACCACATCTTCTGCAGAAAGTCATTATTTTCTCCATTAACTTTCTCCATTAACACTGCTGGTGAGGAAGAAAGGCATACTCTTTCTTTAGTTCCACAAGGATAGCTTAGTCCTTGGATAAATAACATGTCTATCCTATCCTGCTTTCTGTTCCGAAGAATCTTTAGGCTAAGAATAGTCTTCCAGAGAAGTTCATCCTCTCTCATTAACTACATAATCAATTACAGATATACACATCTTAAAATTTTCAATTTGATCTTGCTCTATTTTTTATGTTCTTCAACTCAAGAAGAAAATTCCTAAACCTACAATTTTAATAATGTTGTAAGTTATTCTTAGTTTAATACAAAAAGATCACCAATATAAGCACCAAGGTAAATTTTAGAACCAAAACATACGACTGGAAAAGAAAAGGCAAGGATCTCATCTCTGTATGTCTTCTGTATTCTGATTAATGCCTAGAACAGTGATAAGCATAAACACTAGCAGCTGTTAACCCGTGACTTACTTTTAAAATCTAGCCAATATGTCTTACAAATGAGAAACTTCCCTTCCTACTCAAACTTTAAAAGCTCCCTATAAGCTGATTAACTCCTATGAAAATTTATCAATAACATGGTTCGATCTACTGAGGTCATGTGAATAGTTCTGTGTTCACTTCTGGCGCGTATTTAAGGGGAGGTGAGTTTAAAGGCAAAGCTTCTTACCTGTAACAGATAACCTGTGCTGACAGTGCAGGTGGGTATAAGTAAACTACTATAGTCCTAGCATCCATTCCTTTATTCTTTAGGGCATGGAGAAGAAATAACCAATATAGCTGCTTAATCATCCACATTCTTATGAAATTAAAGTGTGTTAAATGGTTAGCTCTTGGGACTTTAGATTAAATGTTAGAGTCCCCAATAGCCTGCATTTAGTAGGTAATCAATAAGTACCTGTGAAGGAATTAAATAACACTATATTTTATATATTCAGGCAAAAACTAGTCATGAGTTGGTCGCACACTTATTTTCCCCATGAGTGAGTTAAGTTCAGCCTCTTTGATGAAAATGGATGCTTTCCTTGATACAAATGCACAAATTTCTTAGGGACTTTTGATTAAACAAATCTTGGAAGCAGGATTTTCTTTTACAGGTTTGAAGATCACTAAAATTTTGATATATTAGTTTTCACATTATACACTACTGAAATAATCTACATTTGTTTAAACAATGACAAAGTTTTTAAACAGTTTCATGCATGAAATTACCATGTTCCAGTCTGTTTCAACTTTTCTGAATATGGATTCCATTTTCCACACACCGTTCTCCCATCCAGAAATGGTCTGATTATTATTTGAAACTCGGACGTAACTATCTTTCACAACATTGTAACAAAGGTGGAGTTGTTTCAAAATCTTCTCATTTTCAGAGGGGATGAACAGGGTTTCTTTTCTCTTAAAAAGAAAGCAGAATTAGTTTTCAAAATAATGGAAGACTATATATGAGGAACTGCTATGTACAGTGGTAAGAGCTTCCTTCAACTTGAAAATGAAGAGTTGGTGCCATTAAAAATTTTGGAAAATATTTTATAGGTTAAGTAGGATTAGTATGATGTGGATATAGCACCAACAATTACTAAACAGAAAACGAGAAGTATAACTATATATAGCTCTGATTTATATTTTTGTGATTTGTGTTCAACCTAAATTCACTTCTCTTTCTTCATTTCTACCACCAACATCTCCAAATTGGACTCCTATTGTCTCCTAAAGTTGACTCCCAGCTATCAACTCTTACCTCTCCTATCCATGCTCCACATGGTAATGAAAGTGATTTTTTAGATATTGGGATAAATTGGGATATGTCACTTTTTTGCTTAACGCACTCCAGTGACTTCCACTGTACTTAAACTCCAAACCTTTACCATGGCTACTAGGACTCTAAATGATCTATTCCCTACTTACTTTTCCAACCAATCTCATGTTACTCTTCCATTAGCTCCTCAAAAAGGTCCAGCTAGTTCTTGCCTCAGGACCTTGACACATGCTATTCCCGCTGTCTGGAATGCTATTCTTTCCACTCTCCATATACTTGATTCTTTCTCATCCTTCTGGCCTGAACTTAAAGCCATTTCATTAGTATCATTTCCTGATACCCTAAGCTAGGAGAGTGCCTGGGACACATAGCTTGAAACAATTCTCCACATGTGTAAATTACTACAAAAGGTCATGCTTTACCTTAAAATTCCAGGAAAAACTTCTAGCCCAAAATAAATTCATGTTTGTTGTAATGTAAATCCCCAGAAATCCTGAAATCACTGCGTGAATCTAAAGTCTAGGAAAGATAATATATTTATCCTGTGTCTTTATGTGCCACTAACACAATGGCCCTTTTCTTTAAACATGGGCATAGTAGCATTTTGTTATAGGGGCTGCCCTGTGCTTTGCAGGTTGTCTTACCAGACATTGCCAAATATCCCCTGGAAGGCAAAAATCGCCCACCACTGAGAACCACTGCTCTAGTCTGTGTCAATGTCTTGCCACAGTATTTGCTAATCAATCAAAAGAGTAGGCAATGCTTTTTTGTTAAACATTGGGTACTAGGTATTAAACAATATGAAAACTTCAAATGTACAAGAATCAATAAGCAGAATATAAAACATCTTAGAAACAAAAAGTGTTTGTGTATATACATCACTGTCAGCATTATTAAAATAGTAACGCTAAATATATGAAAAAGATAATTCCCTAGTAGAACCTGTGAATATTACTGTCAAAAAGGTAAAGAAAAAAAGCAGCTTATTTTTATAAAATGATTTATAATTATGAATGATAACTTCAAAACAAGCATGTAACAAAACTTCCCAGTTCTTTTCTTCTTTATCAAAGATATTATAAGGTGCTGACAGAAGCCAAATGGAAACAAAATTTAAAAGTAGCATTATCTACTAATTTACAAAGGATAACTAATTACCAAAGGTAAAAGATACTTATGCTACTGAACATAATCATATATGCAACTGAATAATGGAGCAAGAATAACATTAATATTTCACAGAATCTTTTATTTTTTAAGATTTTATTTATTTATTTAATAGAGAGGGCAAGCGAGTGGGGGGAGGAGCAGAGGGAGAGGGACAAGCAGACTCTGTGCTGAGTGTGGAGCCTGATGTGGGGCTCAGTCTCATGACCCTGAGGTCATGACCTGAGCCGAAACCAAGAGTTGGATGCTCAACTGATTGAGCCAGCCAGGTGCCCCTCATAAAATCTTTTAAATCTAAGATTAAGATAAAACTTTTCTTTCTGGAAATAATATCACCAATGTTTCCTTCTTTTCCAAACGATTTCAAGGTGCAGTTCCAGAACTTTTTAGGACATTTTTCATTATTCAATTTACTTTTAAAACAAACATCTACTTCTAAAAAGGAAAATGTTTTTTTTTTTTTAAAGATTTTATTTATTTGAAAGAGATAGCACGAGAGGGAAGAGGGTCAGAGGGAGAAGCAGACTCCCTGCTGAGCAGGGAGCACGATGTGGGACTTGATCCCGGGACTCCAGGATCATGACCTGAGCCGAAGGCAGTCGCTTAACCAACTGAGCCACCCAGGCGCCCAGGAAAATGATGTTTTAAATCCATGTCTGTAATGGTCTCCAGTAATTGAGGAATTAAAAAAAAATTTCAAAAGAGAAGACAATCTGGGCATATGACCCAATTCATATTTTTAAAGTTTAATCAACTTACATGCCATACAAGAGGAAGCACATCCGTCCATAAAAAGAAAAAAGAATGAAGACCTAATATCAATGTTTTATTTAAATTGAACACAGCTGTGAATTAAATTAGCTCTTTTAAACTGGCTTCATTTAGATTTAAACTTGTAACTTGCACTGCATCAGCAGTGATTTGAATTATCTGTTGAATTTAGATCTTGTAATTCTGTGGCTGAACCAACACTTTCAACTGCCTCCTGAAGTAAATTAAAAAGCAAACAAAGTTTACTGGGGATGATTTGCCCACTTTGGACATATTCCTTTATTGGAGAAACGAGTTGCAACAATGGCAAATTTAGAAAAAGTAGATATAAAACCCTAATTTCTTTGGAATTTTGATATGATATCATGGTGGGTTATTTTCCTTCTAAGCATTTTTCATTACATATCTTCTTAGACATTTACATAAAACACTTTCTAGTGAGTGAACTTTAAGTTCCCTAAGCGCAAGGGACAGGTCTACTGTACTTTTTTAATGTCCATTACAGAGCACATTGCTTTTCACCTAGCCCCTAATATAGGCATATTTCCATTGTTCATTATTTAATTTTGGGACATTAATCAAGACATAAAGTCTTAATATAAATTTGACAATATAATAGTAATTACACCAGCAATGATATTTCTAGCCAATACCAGATATATATAGCAAATATATATGAAATAAACACTTTCATCCACTGGATTATCCAGATTCTATTATTTTTCCCACTGTACTTTATAAATTTATATATATATATATAAGTATACGTATTTATATATATTTTCATATATATTTAAATATATATATTTAAATATTATATATTTCATATATATTCATATATATATTTTTTCATATATATATATGAGAAAAGGTAAACATGGCTCTAAAAACGTATTAAATCTTATTTTGAAAAACTTGAACAAGCATTTCCCAAAAGAGGATATCCAAAAATTTAAAGAACAGGCATTCAACTTCATTAGTCATCACCAAAATACAAAGTAAAATCACAATGTAATACTACTACATACCACCAGAGCTGCTAAAATGAAAAAGACAAAACCAACTACAGGTGAAGATGTGGAAAATTCGCATTCACTGCTGGTGAGAGTGTAAACTGGCCCAACCGCTTTGGAAAGCTGCTTGGCAGTATCCAACAAGGCTATCACCTAGAAATTCCACTCCTAGGTATATACCTAACTCAAATGCATAAAGACATTCACCTAAAGCATGTATATAAATGTCCACAGCAGTACGATTTTTAACAGTCAAAACCTAGCAACAGCCCAAATACCTATCAATGGTGGCATGGATAAATTGCATTTATAAAATGGAATATTATACAGCAATGAGAATAAATGTGCCATAAACATGCAGCAGCAAGTCTGAATTTCACAAAATAATATTGAGAAAAAAAGTATTCACAAGAGTACGTATGTTACAATTCCATTTACATAAAGCACAGTAACAGGCAAAACTAATCTATGATGTTAGAAACCAGGATAATGGTTATTCTTAGTGGTGGCAGAAGTGACTGGAAGGGAACTCATGGTTGTTCCTCAGATTCTGGTGGTCTATTTCTCACTCTGGTTGGTGGTTACATGGGTGCTCAATTTGTGAAAATTTGTTAAGCTGTACACTTATAATTTGTATATTTTTCTGTATGTACTTCAGTAATAGTTACACTACACTGAAAATTTACATAGGAAAATCCTATTTTAACATGCCTTGCTAACTCCTGCATGTGAATATACTATGTCAATCAATTATTGGTTCTTTCACATGTTTATGTTTTTTAATAATTACTCTAAAAAGTTCATTGAAAGGTCATGGCCTGGGGCCACCTGGGTGGCTCAGTCAGTTAAGCATCTGCCTTTGGCTCAGGTCATGATCTCAGGGTCCTGGGACCGAGCCCCACATCGGCCTCTTTGCTCAGCAGGGAGTCTGCTTCTCCCTCTCCCTCTCCCTGCAGCTCCCCTTGCTTATGCTCTCTGTCAAATGAATAAATAAGATCTTAAAAAAAAAAAAAAAAAGAAAGAAAGGTCATGGCCATTGCATTTTTCTGTAAGCAAAGAGCACAGTATTGGAAACAGTCAAGTGAGAAGATTATCATGCTATAATGAATTAAATACCTCTAGACCCATTTCACCTCGGGCTACTCTCCAAGCCACTGACCCAGATATTCTTCCACCAAGTTCTCCAGGTTTAGGGGTTTTGGGAGATATAAATTCAACAAGCTCCACAATTATCCTCTGGAGAAGTTCTTTTCTTCTGTTTTCTGACAAAGATATTTGCCTCTGAAATTCATGTTTTTAAAAAAGTCATTAAGATGAGGGAAATGTAGAGGTCCACCTCTAAGGAGGAATATACATAAAACATTTGTATCTTAATGGGATCTTGAAAGATATAACCAACTTTTTGTTCACACATAGTTATTTGGAAAATAAGACACTGTGGAAAACTTAAATTTTACAAATTTTATGTAATTTTATGTAAAGAAATAATTTGACATCCATATCCAACTCTTCTTTACTGTCCTAGATTTTAAAATGGAGGTAGCAACTTCTGCTTCCAGCTATGACAGACCAGCTTGTGCCAGACCAACTGTCCTACCAAGAAAAGGTACAAAAGCTGGGCAAAACATCACATGCAGATACACACATACAAACGCCTATTTAAATACAACAGAAAGCTACCAAGGTAACCAGAGCTAAAGAAGCTAAGATCCCAAGGAAAGAAATGAATTGTGGTGAACTGAAAATACACCTCTTTCCCTTCCAGGCATTTGCCAATTATTAACTGGTATGAGCAAAAGAGAGTGAGAAAACAACCACGAAATGATGGCTCACGTGCAGAAGAACACAGCAGAATTTTTACAGAATCACAGTACTGTGGAGTTAATAGGCTGGAGTTCAAAGCCTTTCAAGGTGAGAGGCTCTAGTAAATACTCCAGATTTTCAGGTTAGGCTCTCTGAAGGGCTGCACATTAGAAGGTGAAATTCCAAACAGACGGAAAGAAACTTCACCTTGAAACTCAATCACTGGGTTAAGTGGATCTGCCCTATTCTAACTGCTTGCCAGAAGCAAAATTAGTGGTTTGGCTTTTAAATTGTAAAAAAAACCCCACACATGTATAATAGTAAAAAATTTCAATACTACCAAAGGGATATAAAATAAAAACTGAATCTTCCTTTTTCAACCTCTAGTTCCTCTCTTCAGAAGTAGTCACTGTTAACAATTTCCTGTGCCTTGTTTTCAAAAATTTCCATCCTTGGAGAAATGTGTGTAATTATATTCAAGACACAATTTCTTTGAAAAATAAAAACATACTTTTTATGTCTAGTATTACATACACTGAAATTCTGTTTCACTAAACTTTGGAAAGAGATGTTATGACAATTGAATATGCAAAAAAGCCACATATTTAAAATAAGTCTCAAAATTTTCAATGAACAGAAAAACACTTTAACATATTAGAATATTTTTGCTTGCAAAATAATGCTACTACTTTCAGAATTTCAATGGGTTAAAAACTGGCCTTTCCTGATTATATAAAAAACTTCAAATGTCCTTTCAAAAATGCCAAATGCTCGTACCTGTTTATTAAGTCCATTAATAGTTTCTCGAAGTAATTCTTCTTTAACCTCAGTTCTTCTGGAGATTACCTCATCATGTTTACAAGAATATCGCCAAGTGACATCAACCACCTCAAATTACAGAATACAGTATTTAACAAGAATACAACCATCAACCTTTTGCTAACCACCTAGAATGTATGTAATTCTTAGATTTTTAAAATGCTATCTTTTGTTTAATTTGTTAAATTTTAAAACCTATGAAAAAAAGTAAAAAAGAATATACTTTTTATTCATTTTCTAACAGGTACACTTTCAGGAAATCCTGTGACAAAATGAGATTCCCAGAACATTTAGCTTTTAAAAACTTATTTACAAAGTTGATTACATAAAATTAAACAAATAAAACCTTGTTCCATTTTTATTATATTAAATTTATATTAAAGAACTAATTTTTGACAAAGGTACAAAGACAATTCAATGGAAAAAAGACAACCTTTTCAACAAATGATGCTAGAACAATTTGTTATCCAAATGGAAAATAATGAATTTCAACCCACACAGTGGACTATATACAAAAATTAACTCAAAATGGATGATAGAACCCAATGTAAAACTGAAAGTATAAAACTTTTAAAACACAGGATAAAATCACTGTGGCTTGGGCAAGGCAAAAATTTCTTAGATACATCAAAAAGTACAACCCATCATTTCACATCTATACAAATACTGAATCATTCATTATGTTGTACATGTGCAACTCTGTCTGCTATACCTCATTTAAAAAAGAAAAAAAGCACAATCCCTAAAGAACAAATTGATTAACTGAACATTATCAATTTTGTCTCTAAAAGTCACTGACAGAATGAAAAGATACAGCACTGACAAGGAGAAAATCTTTGCAAAGCATTTATCTGAAAAATGACTTGTATGCAGAATATATGAAGAATTCTCAAAACTCAACAATAAGAAAATGAACAACCCAATTTAAAAAAAATGGGCAAAGAGGACTATGCATGGCAAATAAGCAATAAGAAGATACTCAGTATCATTTGTCATCAGGGAAATGCAAATGAAAACCACAATGAGATACCACCTCATATCTATTAAAAGGGCTAAAATTAAAACAAAAACAGATAACCATACTAAGTGTTAGCAAGGATACAGAGAAACTGGAAACTCTCACATACTGCTGGTGAGAATGTAAAATGGCACATGACTTTGGAAAAGAGTTTAGCAGTTTCTTAAAAAGTTAAACATACACCTACCCCTACCATATGATCCAGTCATTCCACTTCTAGGCATTTACCAAAGAGAAAAGATAGCATATGGCGATATAAAGACTTGTGTGTGTTTACAGCAGCTTTATTTGAAATAGTAAAAAAACTGGGAATTACCCAAATGCCCATCAACAGGTGAATGGATAAACAAACTATGGTACATGCATACAATGGAATACTCAGCAATAAAAACAATAAATTATTTTTTAAAGGATTTTTAAAAATTTATTTGAGAGAGAGTGGAGTGAGCAAGAGAGAACACGAGTGGGGGAGGGGAAGGGAAGACGGAGAGGGAGAGGGAGAAGCAGGCTCCCCGCTAAGCAGGAAGCCTGACACGGGGCTCGATCCCAGGACCCTGAGATCATGACCTGACCTGAAAGCAGATGCTTAACCAACTGAGCCACCCAGGTGCCCAAAAATAATAAATTATTGATATGTAAGAACAACATGGATGAATCTCAAAATAATTATGCTGAGTAAAAAAAAACCAGACCACGCTCACCAAAAAGAACATACACTGTATGATTCCATTTTATATAAAACTCTGGAAGTGCAGATTAATCTATAATGAGAGAAAGCAGATGCATGGTTGCCTAGAGAGGGGCAAGAAGAAGGGGTAAGAAAGGACATAAGGAAACTTCCAGGGACGGTGAGTATATTTACTCTCTTGACTACAAAGATAATTTCATGGGTGCATACAAATGACAAAATTTATTAAATTATACATTTTAAATATAAGCTGCTTATTGTATGTCAACTATATCTTCAAAAGCTGTCCAAAAGGAATTATATTTCATTCTTAGAAAAAATTTTTTTTGCTTATGCCGTACCTCATCCTTAGAAAATGCAATGACGTAGGAGAGCTTCTTGCCCCACCCTATTTCATAAAGGAGTGGCTTATCACACACGTCTTCACATGCGTCACAGTGCAGCCACCGCTGCTGAGAAGGAGAATACACTTCTGTCCAGACATGGTCTACTCAAGAGACAAGAGAGCAACACAAAGAAAGGAAATAAAAGTGAAGTTTCTAAAACCAGAATGATTTCCAACAACTATACGCAAACTCTTAAGGATCATGTCAGAATTTGTAAAGGTCTTAAATTTTAGTTAATAGGTCTGAGCATTTTGGGGCACACGAGACTCTAGAATACTTGTTTTAATTTTTCTGTCTCTTTGAAATCCTTGAAAATGTTTTTGGAATATGTCCTTTAATGCAGTCAGTTTTAAGCTTAATTAAAAATAATGTGAGCTGTAACTCTAAAAAGGCGAACATACTGAACAACAGCATCAAAAACGTCAGTCTCAGTCTTTGCTGACATGAAGGAGCTAATGCCACTTTTGAAACTGCAGTCTCTTTTGCCCTTTAATACCCAGAACCAGTAGGAGGTCTAACAAAGGATCTCTGGTTATTGATGTTCTATATTTGATTGTAAGAGAACAGGAATTGTTAAGTGAAGATTTCATTTTATCCTAAAAAACAACAGAAACACAAGTAAAATTCTGAGAACAAGGGAAACAACTTTTTAAAATGAAGATGAGAAGAGTCATTTCTAAATAAGGACAATATAAATTTACATGGTTTTTATTACATTTTTTTTTTGTATACTGAGGTTTAAGATCACTACATCTTTTATACTAATCCCTACAAAAATGAAGATTTCTAGAGCATATTACATGTTATTATTCATATGGAAAAAGCATTATTACAAGTGTCATGGTAAATTGTTTATAAAAGTGCTTGTAGTGTCATGTTTAAAGTACCTGGCAAAATGGTAAGTGTACTACAAAAATCTTGAGATCCCCACAAAAATCTTATGAGGCTGATATTATTGTTATTTTAAAAGAAGGTAAATGGAAGTTCAGAATGACAAGGCCAGAAAATAACAGAAAATGATGAGCCCAGACAATAAACCCAATCCTGAAGTCTGCACAGCCCTACTACTCTGCTTACACTACGTTTTGTACCTGTGTAATCCCAAACATAGCGAGCTTCAAACCCTAAGGCTCGGCAGCACAGTGTAAAACAATTGGCCCACTCGCCACACCGTCCACATCTTGTTTCCAAAAGTTTCTCAGGGTTATTATATCTGTTTTAAAATAACCATAAAAAAGCTTTAACAAAATCAAGAATTTTACACAATTTATATTACCTCTGTCCTAAACAGTAAATATTTCTTCATTTCACATTTTTGAAAATTATTTTTAATAAAAATATAGTTGACATATAATATTAGCTTCATTTCACATTCTTAGATAGTGATTAAAGAACCTAGACTACATGAGGCATTCTGTTAATAGAAGCTTTAGTGAAAAATGATTAAACAGTGGTACAGCCTTCAAGGAGTTTACAGGCCTTAGAGGAAGAAGAAATTAACACAAATAACTATTACATGGCAGAATGTGACAAAACCATACAATAGGTCAGATGTGAATGTTATGGGAGAGTGGTTGGGAGGAGAGCTTGTATTTAAACTGGCTTTGAAGGGCAGATTAGATCTGGACAGGCAGAGATTCTCTAGGAAATCTGCTTAAAGCATTAGTATTATTCTAACAAGTGGTATAATTAGCTCATGCATTTAAAAGGTAAACAACTTTAACAAACTACTCAATAAAGATTTTAAAACTTAGTGAACTCAATTCTACTTAAAATACTACTTTTCTGTCTAATGATTTTTTAAGATTTTATTTGTCAGAAAGAGTGAAAACGAGATAGTGAGAGAGAAAGAGCGAGCGAGCGCACAAGCAGGGGGAGTGGCAGGCAGAGGGAGAAGCAGGCTCCCTGCTAAGAAAGGAGCCCAACTCAGAACTCGATCCCAGGACCCTGGGATCATGACCTGAGCCAACACTTAAGCGACTGAGCCACCCAGGCATCCCTCTAATGATCTTTCTGATTGAGTTGTTTTCCTTCTTAGTGACTTAAAGGTGCTTGCTAATTTGGAAGTTGTTTTTTGAAAGATGTTTGTAACAATGTTTTAAAAAGGTACTCCAATTATAAAATTATCATAAAATTGGAGAATACCAAATTTTGCATACTGTGTTGAGAAGGATCTTGGCTGATAAAGCTAAGCAAGAAATGTGCCCTAGCTGAGCAGAGATGTTGGCCATGAGCTTGTGGAAAGAAACCATTAGATGAATAAACTGGCTCGACAATGACAAGTTTGTCTTAAGCAGATGCTGTTGCTTAAACTAGCTAAATTAAATGAATTTAAAATTAAGTAGTTAAGTAACTGAAAAAAGATGTAAATTTACATGAAGAAGTAATAATGGCAGAATTAGAGCATCCTATGCCTCTTCTATATACTACTTGTGCCAAGTTGAATGATGTTAGCCTAGAATTGACAGTGTTCATCATCCCAATTCTACATAGACCAGCTAACAGTTAAACAAGCAAACAAGTAGAAAGGAAAACAGTAAATATCTTTGTTAGCCTGTGCCCCTCCACACTGCATTATCAGTTTCTATCTAACTGCCTAGGCAAGTTTATGAGGAAAGAGATTTAATTATATATATTTTTTACCTTCCAATATTTGCAAAGTACCTGTGCAAATGTATGCCGACTGAAGAAATAACTTGAACTAATTTTATATAATTCCTAGATATTGGATTCTGTATATTCTATCTTGTATATCAGAGGGCTGGTTCCTAGTTAGGACAAAACTGAGTCCCTAAGCTCCAAAAATTAGGTATTTCAAATACTTGGTATCTTTTCTTGACCAATGATACAGCCAACGTTTATAAGTATTGTCAATTAAAAAAAATTGATAAGAGGCTTGTGAATTGACAGTAACTGAAAAAAGTTAACTGAGAAGTACAAACTTCTTTAGTTTAAAATTTAGATAATGAGAATATGTTAGGTTGGGCAGGGGAGGCACCTGATTAAAACAAAATTCTGTTGTTAAAAAGAAAATAATATGATGGTACTATACTTCTACCTTCCATATTACCATCTGATGATTATTTTAAGTACAGCATTGTCTTTACTGTCACAATTTATCAGTATTATTATTAATGTTGCTAGTGCTGTTTTTATGTGCTATCAATCATTATTAAAGTTATCAGAAAGTTAAAAGTTATATAATTAAATGAACAATACCAGATTTACATCATTAAATGTGCTAAGACTATACTCAATTTATATTCCAGAGCAAGAATAAACAAACTTTTCCTATAAAAAGGCAGTAATTATTTTAGACTTTGCAGGCCATATAGCCTTTGCTGCTAGTATTCATTCAACCCTTCCACTGGAATGTAAAAAGAGTTACAGATCATAAGCACACAAATCAGCATAAATGCGTTCCAGTAAAACTTGACTTATAAAAATAGGATGTGGACTGGATTTAGCCTGCCAGCCATGGCTTGCCGACCTCTGTCCTAGAGGAATATATTTCTAATAATTGAAGAGTTCATTTAATAAAAATTCTTTTCTAACCATTCCATTAAGAGATCACTCTAACTTTACTGTGCAGTGGACACCCACCTTGGGAATCGATTGCTGAACTGGCATGCATCACAGTAATGATCTTCTACTCTGTTTGCATCCCACTTCATCTCATCATCATTGGGGAACAGTGATTCACCTCTAGACTTAGTCTGGCCACCACATTTGCTGCACAAAATGTCATTTACCCATTGAAAAAATTCTTCCTTAAACCAGTGTAAAAGCTCCAGCAGAAGAAAATCCTCATCACTTACATTAGTACCTGAGAAGTTAAAACAGAGTCAAGTAAGATCTAAAGCTGACAAAAACTAAAAATACGCACATGTATTTTATTCTCGAATATGGAGCCGAAATATGTGAAAATATGAGAGGATCTAAAAGGTTTTCACAAATATGATGCAAGAAAAGAACTGTCGGCATATTGTGAACCAGGCTGAAATACGATGACATAATACATTGTACATTTATAGCAGGAGGACATTTACCACTCTGTAACCTCTAACCAACATTATGTACTAACAAGTTAGCTGAACACAACCACCTCTCAGGGAACTATGGTCAATGTGTATTTGCTCTTGAAACACAGGGAGGTTAAGAAATCAGCTTAATTTTTAAAAACATTTAAAAAGGACTACATTCAACTTGTTATCAGGTATATATACAAATAAACAAGAAACAATCACAAAATCACAAGCAGAAATCACAGAATTCCAGACACCTTAAAAAATCAACCTACCAGCTTTTCTATCAGTGTTTCAACTATACAGTATAATCCATCTGTGAATACTCACCATAAATCACCTAAAAACACAACAATGTCTACACAGTATATAACAACCCTGGAAAGTAAGTATGGCCTATAATATTATATAAAATTGTATCTATTTATCAAATAAAAAGATGTCTCTTGACAATATTCAAGACTGTGGTACCTCTGGGAAGAAGAGAAGGAGAGGAGAAAAGAATCTGGGAGACACATACAGGGAGTTCTCATCTCTTTCTTGTTTTATTATTAAGAAGTGATCATAATATGAAGGAAATATATGGCATAATGTGAAGCTCTAGTAAAGTTTAACGCTGGTCATAGGTGTTTGATACATTATACTCTATTTCTATACTCATACTCTGTTTCTGTTTGATATAGTGCAAAATGAAAAAAACTATATTAGGAAAAAACTAGAGAATATAAAGGCCAGAAACATATTATGTTCCTGGTTGGGAGAACAATATTCCAAAGTTGTTAATTCTCTACAAATTAATCTGTAATTTAATGTAAACCCAATTACAATTATAAAATAATTTTAAAAGTATTTAATTTAAAAAATTTAATTAAAAATTTATAAAATATTTTTTCATAAGATTTGACTAAGAACAATATGATAAATTCATTTAGTACATGTCAAAACACATCACAAAATTCTAATAATCAAAATATTGTGATACTGGTGAAGAACATACAAAGTAGATCACTGAAACAAAAGAATGACTCCTGAAAAACAGATTTCTAAGTGATACATAGTATCTAGTAAAGTTAGCCTTTCAAAATAGTTCTAAGGAGATGGACTGTTCAATAAGTGATTTGGGGACAATATAAAAATTCTGTATTGAGAGAAGGAATACTATAAAGGTAATAGAAGTTACAAAAGAATACGTTTATGACTTTGTGATAGGGAAGGGCCTTCTTAAACAAGATGCAGACTGTGAAATCAATAATGGGAAAAAATAAACTTTCTTATATTTGAAGTTATAGCTTATGAATTTCAAAATATACACTAAATTAAACAAAGAACACTGGGAGAAAAAAAAATGTAACATGTCTAATAAAGAAAAGTATCCAGAATATATAAAGAACTTCTGTAAATCGATAAAAATATTAGCAAATCCATTAGAAAAATTCAAAGTCTAGAAAAGAAGTCCAATAATTTCATTAAGTGGAAATAAATACTCTCGGACACTTCTGATGTGAACTGAAAGGCAATCTGCTTGACAGGATCCTTTACAGTGTCAAAGTCACACACCCTTGACATTTTTATATTTATCTCAGAGAAACACTTGTGCATATACACCATAAGGCATGCTTTACAAGAATTCTCACTGCAGGAGCATTTAGAATAGAGAAAAATGGTAAATAATCTCAATGTCTATCAATAGGAAACTGTATAAATATTAGTATATGCATACTATAGAACACTATGGAGGGTTAAAAAGATTTCTAAGACAAGTTAGTAAATGAAAAACACCAAGAAACTGAAGATATATGGGATGATAAATTTTATGTAAACCCATACAACTTAAACTATTTTTTCAGATAACTATTTATGGGTATAAATACACAGGAGAAGATATGAAAAGGAATGTCTCACATGATAACAGCTGTTACCTATGGAAGAGGTGTAGGACCAGTTGACTGACAGGGAGAATTTAGCTTTTCTCATATAATATGAAAGTTTGTATTTGATTAAAAATGAACTTTAGTAATACAGCACTGCCACCGTTCTTCTCTATCAAGTGCCTACAGCAGAGTAATCTTTTTAAAAATGCAAGGTAGATTATATCACTCAAAACCCTCCAATGAGGTTTCCATCTCACTCAGGATACAATTCAAAGTCTCTACTCTTATTCTTTGTTATCACAGCTGGTCTCCTCTGGTAGGCTGAACAACAGTCCACCAAAAGATAGCCACATTCTAACCGCTGGAGTCTAGAACTGTTACCAAATACAGCAAAAAAAGAAAAAAAAAGGTCTTTGAAGATATGATGAAGTTAAGGACCTGGAGATGGGGGGATTATACTGGATTATCTGAGTGGACCCTAAATGCATACTATCCTTCTAAGAGGGAAGCAGAGGGAAATTTTACACACACACAGAGAAGGCGATGTGATAGCGGAACAGAGAGAGATACCGTGGCCCCAGTGACACTGATTATGGCCTTCTGGTTTCCAGAACTGGGAGTGAATAAATTTCCGTTATTTTAAATAAATTTAAATAAATTTCTGTTATATCACCCAGTTTGTGATAATTTGTTACAGCAGACAGAGGAAACTAATGTACCCCCTTTACTTTTCTGACCTCTGTCTTGTTCATTCTGCTACAGGCATCAGGTTCTCCCTGTCATCCTTTCAATGCGCCAAGCTCACTCTCACCTCGGGGAGCCTTTGCAGTTGCTGGTGCCCTCTACCTGGAATGGAAGTCACTGCTTTCCAGAGAAGCCTTTTCTGACAACCCTGTATCAAAAAGCATCCTTCCTAGGCACTCTCTGTACTGTTATCCTGACCTGTTTGTCTTCCCAGCACTTATCTACCCGTTCTATTTGAGTATTTGGGGTTTTGTAGTCTGTCTCACCCCATGACAGTAGGGACCTTGAGCTGTGTTTGTCACACAATAGGCGCTCAGTATATATCTGAATGAATGATAGAAGGACTAAACAAAGAAGCCTCATAATATTAATTAGAATTAATACTGTTGACCAAATAGTCATTATCAAATTGGGAAAAGAAGGGAAAGGAAGACAGCACCCTTGTGCTTCTGTGTTATATGTACTCCAGGTATAGAGCGGCAGACTCCCAGTTAGAAGTAGGACTATTGCACGGAGAGTGAGGCCCACCTGAGGGTCAGTGCTCCTTGATCAAGCAATGTCCTGAATTATGGCTCAGGGAAATGCAAATGGAATCCTGTCCATAGAGGATAAGAGCTCAGAAAGCTCAGAGATATGGGGCTTAAAGAGAGGCTGGACTTAGATGCTGAATTCTTTTTTATTTGTTTTTTGTTTTTTTTAGCTACTAAATTTCTGTGAGAATATGGAGAATATATTAAATTTCTGTGAGAATATGGAGAATATATTAGAGTGTGGAGAGTACATTTTAAAATTATAATCAAGACTTCAGATTAATACATTTAGCATCTTCAAAAATACCATACAATAGATTTCTCATAACTTTCCAGTAACAAAGATAAAATTAACAAGTGTAGGTCTTAACTCCATTCTATGAAAATCACAGACATTAGTGTGCAAAAGAGGGAATGAGAAGAAAATCAGTAAAAACATCAGTACAGGTAGCCTCATCCTTCGACACACTTTAGTACTCAATATTCTTCCTCCCATGTCTTCATATTCAATTTAGTGGGCCAACATATATTTTGTTTCACTTTCCCAAAATGACAGGGTTCTTTCCTCTTCACGAAAGGTGTTTCGCCTATATCTGGAACACTCAATCATGACAAATCTTCAGTCTTCCAAGCCAGAGCTATGGAATCATGCTTCTCTGAGCCTCAACTACCTCTAAAGGTATCTCAGTGGGTAGGGTTCCCAGGTCCTCACTTCTGCTTCAAACCAGAACACTTTTCCTAGTTTAGAAACCCAGAGTAAGATTTAACTTGGGGAGAAAATGAAGAAAACAAAACAAAACAAAAAAACCACAATCATGAATGAGAGAAAATCACCAACCTGGACAAATGAGGCTTTGTCATCATCTCAGAGCCAGATAGTCACTGGGGCAGAGGGTGCTAGCTGCCACCCAATATCCAAAAGCCAGTACTTGATTTACAGAATTCTAATTTATTTGGGATGGCAATGCATTAGCTAACAGACTACAGATTAAGTTTGGGTGAGAGTCCCAGGAGCCTTCAAGAGAACAGGCTCAGCGGTTCCATTTTGCTTTTTCTCCCTTTCGTCTTCCTGATGCCTGGTCTGCAGATATAGTGGCTGGAGCTTTAGCAGTCATCTTAGACTATGAGATGTAACCTGCAGAATGGAAACCATGTATGCCAGAGCCAAAAGACAGAAGGGACCTAGGCCTCTGATAATGTTTCAGAACTTACCACTAGCATCAGACTCCCTAACTCAATAATTTCTTACATGAGAAAATAAATCCTAAGCCATTGGGGTCACAAATCCCATTACTCACAGCCCAGTCTAACCCTCAATGATCCATTCATTATGTCTATAATACCACTTATTTCACTATATATTTGAATCTCCTCTACTTATGACTGTAACTCTTTCAGTATCCTACTGTTTTTGTGGAACAGTGCCATCTAATAGAACTTTCAGCAATAATGGAGATAATTCATATCCACAATGTCCAACAGGGTTGCCACTAGTCACTTGTGGTTAATAAGTACTTAAAATGTGTTGACTGTAACTAAAGAACTGGATTTTTAATTTTTTAAAACTTAATTTAAATATAAATACCTACATGTATTTAGTACTAGTACTGTCCTATCTTCTAGAACCTTTGCAATCCTCCCTTTCCCCCTTGCCTTTTCATTCTGGGAAATCTCATTTACTTGCACAGTTTTACCTATCACCCTAAAGTGTACTTCTTAACAGAATTCCAGACCTACATTTTCACCTGGTCCAGATAATGGCCAGCGGTTACTTTAAACCATTTCCCTTCAAAGCCTGTTCCTATTGACTCCTCTAATCTTCTAGTTGCCTGAATTCAAAACTGGAAAGTCCTCCTTGATATTTTCCTTAAGCATACACAATGCCTTGTCACATCAAATGTACTTACCAACTGCAAACAACATGTATTCTATCATCCCAATAACTCACATCCATTTTCTCCCCTGCTGTCACAATACCCTGTTCACCCTAATTCCTCTCTATTACTACTGTTTTTCAACTGTTCTCTCCTTGCACTCTCTTATTCTTGTTCATCTTACAAGGTATTGCTAGATCAATCTTCCTTAAGCACACCTCTGATGTCACTCACTTGCTTAAAGCTTCAATGGTTAATGCTGCTGAATTAAGTAACCAAGAATACTTGACTTTCCTGAGCAATCGCTTTATTTCCTCCTTGCTAATGAATAGATCATACAACATTTTTGCTCTATGTTCAATCATACTAACATTGTAATGTTAGCCTTACACTAAGACATGTACATCCTTCTAATTTCTTTGGTCCTTATTTTCTATTTCAAAACTTTGTTAAAAGTATTCTTTGTTCCATTTTATCTCTAGTTCTTTTTGGAAAGATTAAAAATATAAGATAAACTCAGTACACATTTCTCTGCCTGAAATTCAGTGTCAACGAAAATACGATCTCAGCCTACTTGATCTCTCACTACTGTTTTACCCACTCCTTACGCTACACACAGCCAGATTTTATTATTCATTGTTCCCCACATAGAATCTAACTTTTCTGCCTCCACACATCCTGTTAACTACATTTGGAACAATGTCCCTGATCCCTGCCTTAATAAGTCCTTTGGCATCTTAGATTACTATTCCAACTCATCCTTTATAACCTTTAAAAAAAAAAAAAAGCTCAGTCTTTTACTGATTTTCATAATACCATTCTACCAACCTGATATGTTATTTCTTTCCTACTTAAATTAAAACTCTATTCTAGTGCTTTTAAATTTTAAGTGTGAAAGAATATATAGACAAATCTCGTAAGTCATACTATGATATGAAGTTATAGATGGTGTATCTTACCCCTATTTTCCAAATTTTCTACCAAAAAAAAAAAAAAAAAAAAAAAGCCATGTATTACCTTTATAATTAGAGGGGAAAAAAAAATGCCAGGCAAACGTCAACAGGGACACTGCTAATTGTGTCTCCTCTGTGGGGCTCAGCTGAATGACTAACACATAAAACATGCTTCGGTAAGTATCTGTTAAACAGGCATTTATGTCAGGGATCATCTGAAGGAACACAGTACTTTAATGTGGACAGGGCCTTTGTGATCACATGTTAATAAGCATTCTTATTTCATAAATAGTAAAAAAACTGTTAATCCAAGAAGATGAAGAACTGTCTCAAGGTCTCACCGCAATGTTGTTGAATTAAGTCTAAGCCCCAGAATAGTCTTCAAATACAAAAATATGACATAGTATAATATTATAATAAAAACAAAACTACCAAAATACAATGGGCAGCAAAATACCTAAACAACATATATAAGAAATGATTAAATGATCAAAAAAAGGAAAAGAGTTACATAATTAATCCCTCAGAGAGACTTCCGGTTTTAGCTCTGACATGTAAAGAGCTTAGAGTTGTCATTCCCATCGTTACGAAAACAAAAAACTGAACAAACCAAAATCATTGACTTTTCTTGAGCTCCTTAGAATTCACAGGGCAAACTGTCACCCTGAAATCTGGAGAGACAAGACAAATACAGAGAATCTTAGCCAAATACACAGAATCGCAACCAGCCATCTGCTATATGGAACAGAAGCCACTGGAGTCATAAATTGGTAAAAACACTTAAAATGATAATTTCGACAAATTGCTGGAGGCTGAACATGGACTAGCTTGAGTAAGAAAAACAATCTTAGGAGGGGTTCCTAACACTTTTGCGGGTTTTCCCTCCAAGAATCCCACTAGGTTTTCTTGGTGAAGAACCAAAAAAGATCTCCTTAAAGCTCTGAGAAGGAGGAGAAGATTAAGAATTGCAAAGTATGCCCAGAACGTTCTTTACAATAAAGGCCTACTCTTCAGGGAAAAAGATTTTACCAGAGCCTTTTCTGAAGTGGGGAAAGGGAACTTCCCTGACTATAGCCACTTCTAGTCTTCCTATCTCATCTATGGAGGGAAAAAGTTAAGAAAGGCTTGGGAAGGTCAGAGGCCTGAGGATACAGGCCTACTAAAGCACTGAGACTTAATCATCAGATTACAGGGGGCTTCTACTCCCCTGTGCCTTATCACTACTCCAACAAGGCTCTGGTGTAACAACAATGGAGTCTACTAAAAGATGCAGACTGTATCTAAGGAGTTTTTAAAAAAGCCCAAAGACAACAGGGGAGACAAGAAGAATACCAGAGGAAGTCTGAAGCTTCCGACACCTACAGCTAACATTAAACATAGCCCAACTCCTGGTTAAATGGACATAAGACCTAACATAAAGGGCCTATTGACCTCAGCTCCTACTACCCAATGATGCATCATGTCTAACTTCCAACAAACAAATACAAGATGTGTTAAAAGGCAAGAAAAATCAGTCTGAAGTGATAAAGTATCAGAACCACCCAGATTTTGGAATTAACAAAGAATTTAAAGTAACTCTGATTAATATATTAGGTGCTCTCATGAAAAAAGTAAACAACATGTAAGACAGATGGATAACGTAAATAGATTTTTTTTGTTTGTTTAGAAGCTTTAAAAAAATCTAGAGGAAATGCTAGAAATCAAAAACACTGTAACAGAATGCCCTTCATGGGCTCATCAGGAGATGGGAGACAGCCAAGGCCTGAGTCCGTGAACTTGAAGATAGGTTAACAGAAACTTCCCAAACTGAAAATCAAAGAGAGAAAAAAAAAAAAAAAAGGCACAGAACTGCAGGAGAATCTCAAAATGGACCAGAACATCTAAGAACTGTGGGAAATTGAGGCAGAGACAGATAAAAGTAAAATAGGATACATTCATTTTGGAATACAGAAGGAAAAGAGAGGAAGAAACAAAAGAAATATCTGAAGCAATAATGGCCAAGAATTTTCCAAAATTAATGAGATTCCAAACCACAGATCTAGGAAGTTCAGAAAACACCAACCAAGCAACTATACCTAGGCATGTCATATTCAAACTGTAGAAAACCAAAGACAGAGATAATCTTTTTTTTTTTTAAAGATTTTATTTATTTATTTGAGAGAGAGGATGAGAGGAGAGAGAGAGCACAAGAGAGGGGGGAGGGTCAGAGGGCAAAGCAGACTCCCTGCTGAGCAGGGAGCCCGATGCGGGACTCAATCCCGGGACTCCAGGATCATGACCTGAGCCGAAGGCAGTCGCTTAACCAACTGAGCCACCCAGGCGCCCCAAGACAGAGATAATCTTGAATAAAGCTGGGGATGGGGAGTAAGTTGAGGGGATATGGGGAAAACCTTACCTAAACAGGAATAAGGATGGGAATTATAGCAGACTTCTTGTCATAAACAATGCAGGCAAGAAGACAGGAGGGTAAAATATTTAAAGTGTTGTTGAAAGAAAAACCTCACCAACCTAGAATTCTATATCCCAGTGAAATTATCCTTCAAAAGTGAAGAAAAAATTAAGGGTTTCTCAGGCAATGAAAAACTGAGGGAATTCATCTCTAGCAGATCCGCCCTGAAAGAAATATTAAAAGAAGTTCTTTAGGAAGAGGGAAAATGATATAGATCAGAAACTTGGATCTACAGAAAGGAAGCATCAGAAAAGGAATATGTGAAAGTAAAAGAGAATCTTTTGTTTTCTTATTCTTGGCGTAAAAAGTAACTTCTTTAAATAATAACAATAGCAATGTACTGGGTGATTACAGCATATGACAGCAATGTTATGAGGATGGGAGGGAAGAATTGGGATGATTCTGTTAAAAGGTATCTGCACCATACATGAAGCAGAATAGTGTTTTTGAAGGTGGACTCAGTTAAAACATTTATTGCAAACTAAGGTAACCACCAGAAAAATTACATAGTCCCCTAGAAAATATAATATTAAGAAATGACTTAGATAAAAGCTAATTACATAAAAACTCAAAGTAAAAATGCTACCATTGGAAAAATTTAACAATTAAAATCCTAAGACCATTAATGATAACACACAAATAATTATTGGTTGATGAATGTGGTAGGTATTGTTCTGAGCCATTTACATGTACTATTTCACCTATTTTTAAAAATCATCCTATTTTCAAATGAAGAAACTGAGGCATAGAGATCAAATTACTTGCTCAGTAATGCACAGTAAAGTGGCAGAGCTGAATTTATTCCCAGGCAGTGGACAGCAGTGGATAAGGAAGAACCATATACCAGTAAATACTATCTTTATTATAGACAAAATGAATCAATGGTCTAATCATATGGATTAATCTTGAATGTGGTTTCTAATTCACATTAAAATTCACTAATAATACTATCATATGTTCCATAGACTTAAGTTCTATTATACCTAAAAAAACTCGTATACCAATGATTAAACTGCAAACACATACTGAGGTTTAAAAAAAAAAAAAAAAAAGATGTGTTAATAGATAGGTCTATGAGGTACATGCAGTAAAGTTTTACTACTGCTGTACTTCTTAAAAATCAACACAGAAATAGATTAGAATTTTATGATGTATACAGCAAAAGGCAGCATTTCAGTGTTTCTCTTTAGCAATGATGTATATTTAGCAATGATGTATATTTAGCAATGAATGGTTATATAAAGCCACTACCTTTATCCAATTTTCTAGCTCTAGATAACTTTTCTTGAGATCTCCTTTTTAGTTCTTGGACTGGAATACAAGCCAGTGCTTTCTCCTGGAGAGCAAGGTTCTCATAGACCAGCACATGCTGAATGTTGGACCGGAGAACTTTTAGAATGACTGAGTCAGTAGTAACCTAATAGAAAAAAAAAATTGGTTAGCTTTTCTCCAGTTGCTACAAAAATAACACATAACTGAAAACGGTGGTTCTATGATTTCATAGATAAAGAGGAATGTATGGATTCACTGAAATATAATAATACTCAAAGGCTATACAATATGTTTTAGGAGATACCCATATCTGTGTCACAGTCGAAGATATATCTATTCTTTTCTCTGAATATATTATTGAGGATATATTTAAACAGAGATATGCTAGATTCTTGATTACAAGTTTGGATCAAGATACTGCTCTGAGGGGCGCCTGGGTGGCCCAGATGGTTAAGTGGCTGACTCTTCATTTTGGCTCAGGTCATTTTTTGGCTCCAGTAATGACTGTGAAGTCCTGGGATCAAGCCCTGAGTTGGGTTCTATGCTCAGCAGGGAGTCTGCATGATCTCTCCCTCACCCTCGGCCCCTCCCCCGGCTCATGTGCACCTGAGCGCTCTCTAAAATAAATAAATCTAAAAAAAAAAAAAAAAAAATAGTGCTCTGAGCAATGCATCTGACAGCCTTTCCAGTTCAAATCCCTGCAAGTAACATAATTAAAACAAAAAATAAAACAAAACAAAACTCCATATGGCATTAGCAAAGGAGGAGTACTCTTCAGGGATCAGGACTTTTGAGAAATTCCTGAAAGAGGAAAAACAGATACAAATGGATTAAAGGAAAAAACTATAGCAATATGCCCCCCAAAAAGAGTGGTTATACAAACTAAAGTTTTCAAAATGATCCCAAGAGCAGAGGAGCCACAGGATCCAGATAGAAAAGGGCCTTGGAACAAACATTAGTGACACTGGCTGGGCTCTGCAGGAGGAATAGCTAGACATCTTCCCCCTGCCCCCACCCCATCATTCCTTCTCAACAAAGAACCATGCTTCTGAGAAGTGAGGGAGCTGCTTCCCAAAAGGAAAGAGAAACATCCAAGCTCAGAACAGTTGCTTCTGGTACAGACCATCTTGTAGCATGTTCTACCCCTCCCCACAGTTGCTAGAAGCAGATGCTGCATTCACAGATAGGCTAGCAGGAGCTCTCAGACTCACTGAATCTGTAACAACCCATACTGTTGCAAAGATGCATTAGAATCAACATCAGAAGAACTAACCCTGCAGCCATAGCAGCAAGTCTATCTTCAGAGATTCGACAGTATACTGTATTCAGAGAAAGACAACCATGGATCTTGGAAATTAACAATTTAAACACTGAAATAAGAAAGTACACATGGGGCGCCTGGATGGCTCAGATGGTTAAGCGTCTGCCTTCGGCTCGGGTCATGATCCCGGGGTCCTGGGATCGAGTCCCGCATCGGGCTCCCTGCTCCTTGGGAGCCTGCTTCTCACTCTGCCTCTCTGTCTCTCTGTCTCTCATGAATAAATAAATAAAATCTTTAAAAAAAAAAAAAAAAAGAAAGTACACATGGTGTCAAACTGTAGAATAAACATAGCTAAAGAGTGATCAATTAGAAGACTGAGCCAAGACATTTTCTGAGAACGTGGCACACAAAAAACTAAACAGACACTCAAGATAAGTCCAAACGTTTCCAAATCCAGCTGACAGGAAGTCCAGAAAGTAGAGTAGAAAACAGAAGAAAAGATAAACTTCTCAAAGAAATAATGGAAACCAATTTCTGAGAGTTGAAGAAAGAGCCAGTATGAATGGGGGGATAAAACAGGGCATAGAATAGTGACATTTCGTAACAGGTTAAGTAGAAAAACAAAATTCCAAAAGCCTTTTATGAATCAGACATCTCATTAGAAACAATGAAGCAAAATCTTTGAAATTCTGAGGGAAAATGACTGGGAACAGAGGATTCCTACCCAGCCAAATTAATCACACAGGAGGGCAGAATAAGTCCGTTTTCTGATACGTAGCAGTATAAAAGTGTATCACTCCTAAATCTTATCTTAAAGAATTCTTAGAGAAGTTATTGTCCCCTCAAAATATAATATAATCAAAGTAAATAAACAGATCACCCAGGAGTAGAAACTGAGATAAAAGCAGCAGGAGTTAAAAAAATAAACTAGTAAAACCTAAGTTCTGATTATTAAAAATAATTGAAAAGCAAAATCTCAAATTTTCTCATAAAGAAGGTAGCAGGGAAGGGAAAAGAAAAAAGAGTAAAAACTTTCTGAGGTTCCTGTCTTGTTATGTTAGTAAAAAAATATAAAAGTAAATATTTGCATTAAAAATTTAAGGGTAGTAATAGAAGACTAAAAAAGAAGATATTTAACTTTCTAACTTTTAAAGTGAAAATAATGGAAGAAAACTGTTCTCAAAAAAGGGAAAAAACAAAAGGACACAGGCAACACAAAATAAGATGTCAGAAATAAATTCAAACATATTAGCAATTATGGTAAATATGAATGGATTAAATGTGTATATTAAAAGGTAGACACAGATTAATTTAAAAAATAAAAACCATTATCAAATCCTCCCTGACCTTATCCAGGATTTTTTAAAGCACTGGGGATGGGTGCATAAGACATGATCACTTCACTGTCTAAGGGAGGGAAAGGCATTAAATCATGACAAAACCACCATTATTAAGTCAACAAATATTTGTGTATAAATGTGTGTGTGTGTGTGTGTGTGTGTTACATACTGGAAAAATAATGGAGACCAAAATAGTCAAGGATATTATCCTCACAAAGTAGTCTATGGATACAGAAACTAATACTGGTACAACAATGTTCATTTACTCAAATATATAATGAGCCTTTATTATTTGCTAGTTACTGGATATAATGGTAAGTTAGATAATTTATTCATAGGTGTAAGAAGAGTAAGCAAATATAGAGGATAGTGACACTGTACAACAGGGATTCTGAACCTAGAATTCCCTGAAGAAATATTTTTTATATTTGTGGCAAAGTACTAAGGATACGAAGCTAATAGGAAAGGGAAAAGGCTAATCCTATAGGAAGGAACAGCATACAGGTAGCTGGGGAGTGTGTTTATGGGAACAGGCTTAGGAAATTACGTAGGATCAGAGAGAAAATCAGGGTGTTGAGAGCATGGAGAACGAAGGGGAAATGGCGGAGAGAGAAAGCTGAGGATGAAGCTGAATTGGTAAGTGGCTAGATCCTTCTGGTCTCTTTCCATTGTAATGGGAAGCTATTAAAGACACTTAAGCAAGGGAGTAAAACCATCAGATTTACATTTTCAGAATATCACTCTAGCTGTAGCTAGAGAAAGGAGGCTACAGATGATCCAATGGAGGCCGACTGCAGAACTCTGAAAGAGCTGGTGGCTTTAGTAGAAGTAAAGTGTAAAAAGAACTTAGGAAATAGGATCAACAAGTCTCAGTGACTGAACTGTGGAGTCGGGGCAGTTAGAAAAGTAGAAAAATACATTAGTAATGATCTGTGGATTTTGAGTGAGCAACTAACTGGGTCAATGGTTGAACCACTTATGGTAGAAGAAAAACCAGGAAATGATTGACTGAGCTAAAGATGATCAACGGTCAAGTAAAAATGAACTGAAAATAAGTATATTAAATTTAGCAGCATGGAGATTTTTGATGATCTTAGGAAGATTTCTAATAGTGTTAATAAGGAAAACAAGTTGTAAAAAACTTAGTTGTGTAACCATGTCCCCAAGTGGCCTAAGAGTACCAAAGTAGCTGCACAAAATGGTCTACTGGAAAGTGTACAGAAAATATTAGAACTCCTATTTGTTTGGTTTTTTTTTGCCAAAAAAATAAAGCAATTAAGTTATAATAACATTTAGTATTTGGGTGATCTGTGGCTAGCAAGCTAGCCTGAGGAGAGAAAGGACCAAAGTACAGAGGGAGTTAACAACAGGCATGTTCACTCCTACTTCTACTCTTACCATATTACAAGGTTTTGCGATTCATATGTGCCTGGCTAAGTGAATTTATAGATTATGTTATATAGTTTTCACTAATGAACCCTCAACCTAGCTGTAAAAGATTATAAAGACTGGGGGCACTTGGCTGGCTCAGTTGGCGGAGCGTGCAGCGCTTGATCCTGGGGTTGTGAGTTCAAGCCCTGAGTTGGGTGTGATTACTTAAAAATAAAATCTTAAAAAAAAAAAAAGACATCTCATCATCCTAAATTATGTTCTGAAGGTCTTTTGACTATAATACTGTGATTATCTTTATTTTAAAAATTTATTTATTTATTTAAGAGAACACCAGCGGGGAGGAGAGGCAGAGGGAGAAGCAGACTCCCTGCTGAGCAGGGAGCCCAATGTGGGGCTTGATCCCAGGACTCTGGGATCATGACCTGAGCCAAAGGCAGACTTTTAACCAACTGAGGCACCCAGGCGCCCCTTACATCAATGATATATTAATACATTTTTAAAAATTAAAAATATTTACTCAATAGCTTTTGTTGACATTGTTTCCCGATACAGTATAATGGCATAATGGTACATGTATATAATTTATAAACAAAAATATATATTGAAAGGCTATGCTCAAACATTTTACTGATACGGTACATGATTAAAGAATGGAAGCTTGCTAGACAAGTATGTGAGAAGTAAAGATATAGTGATGAGTACAGGGAGCTCTTCCGGAAACTTGCTGTAAAGAAATGAGAACTAGAGGACATGTAGGATCCAGGGATATTTGTATGCTGGCTTGTTTCTCAGATAGGAGAGTTTACAGGAAAGGTTCCTAAACATTGATCTGCTTGTGAAAAATACAGATTCCGCAATTCCTCCCCATCCCTTTCTGATTTAGCCAGTCTGGGGTTACATCTAGGAACCTGAATGTCCAGCTCATCCTGATGCCAACAGCCTAACCTTAGATAAAAACTGGCCTTTATAAACCAAGGCTTCAATGCCAATGAGAAGAATCCCCAAGAAAAGAGGAGGTTCAAGACTGCACACAGTCCCTGTGAGATTCCACAGTGAGCAGAGAAGAAGGGATGCAGGGACAAAGGAGGAGCTGGCTTTTGTTCGGAGCAGACATGGTTGCCCCACTTCCAGAAGGGATGAGTGCAACAGATGACTGAAGAAACTTACTGAAGATCTAGTGATGAGAAATCCAGGGTATTCCCAACAGGGAGGAATATGCTCCTTTACCAGAACTGATACAGAAACACACAAAACAGGTCTCCATTTTTAAAGAATTCTTACAAAAAGGCAGAGCTATATTTTTGTTATTGTTCTTTAATTAAACGCAGGTTTTCATTTACTGAGAGAGGTAAGAACTCATCTAGAGAACTTTTAGTTTCAATCTGATACTTCCAATCTGGAAATTACCTCATTCGTTGTGGTTTTTATGGCACTCAAACAATCCTGAACAATAGAGTTTATTTTCTTGCCTTATTTCTTTACATATTCTTTGGCACAACTCCATACACACTAAGAGATAAAAGCAAAGTCTGCCGATTGCATGGCAACTACAGCAGCTGGGCAACCAGGTACACAAGGCAGCAGTTAACTGCCTGAGGGAGGCGAAGTTACTTGGGAGTACAAAGAGAAGTTCAAAATGTGCAATCTGTCTGGTTTTAGGTCAAAAAGATGGTTTGCTCCACTGATCATACTTAGATTTCAATTATTTTGGTTTCTAATGTGAAATATATTCAAGACTCTTCATAAGAAAAAAATATATAATATGTATATTTTGTCAAATCATGTGATATAACCCGTGGAAGCTGGATTACTTCTTTAGTAAAGGACCAGGGGTCCTCAAGCCCACCAGTCTTCCTTCTACCTTTATGTAGCCTTTTGCTTTTGTGACTTTTAAATTTAGAACCTGTTTTTAAGCATAAAAGTTCTGTTTAATAATTTTTTAACCTTAGTTTTAATCAGCGTGTGACTTCAATCATCTTATTTCTTACAACCCCTCCCCTTTTTTCTATTTATAAAAGTAAATGTTGTTGTAAGAAATTCTCAGGAAATACTGAGTGGTATAAATAATAAGGAATCACCTGTAATTTTACCCTAAGATAAAATTATAGCTAAGATGTCTGTGTATAGCTTTCCAGACCTTTTAAAATGAATATGTTTATGTATGTGCATTTTTAATATGAAAATTGAAATATAATATACATATACACAACATATGTTGTTTAATTTTGGAATTCCCAGTTTACCATTTTTTCCCCATATAATAACTCTCTTAATGCCAAAATAGACCACAGCATCATTTTTAATGGATGCTAAGAATTCCAGTATACAGACGTGTTGTAATTTAAGTGATCTGGTATGCAGTATATTTTACCTTTAAGAATGGTAGGTTCACAACAAGAAATTGGACATTTAAATCTTATGTCCAAATAGAAGACTTCTTCTCTAAAGAGATCATATAAAGATCCAGACTAAAAGGTTTCTTATGAGATTAAGTTTAAAAATAAACCAACTCATAAAAAAATAAAATAAACCAACTCATTTTATCATTGTCTAACAATACAATATTATATTTATAATTTCAACAGAATAATTTCAAATGATAATTCTTTTAAATAAATAAATGCATACCCACATACACAACGGGCAAGAATTTCTAGAGTGATTAGAGCTGATGAAAGTCCTTAACAATTCTATACACATTTTAAAAGTAGGCATGTGCCAAATAAAAGTATGCAGCTAAACTAGTTGTGTAATAACTGAAGGCTTATTTTAAGCAAATCATACTTCAGAATCACATATTTTCAACCTAGATAAAGTTGCAAAATTGGAAAAATAATGCTTTTAACATTCTAATGTTCTATGTCTTTGAAAAACTATCTCTGCTGTTTCGAAACTCCTTTTCAAAGGCAAAGGGTATAAAAATATATAAAGGGTTATTGGGAAATTATGTCCTTTAGGAACACTAAACACTCAGCATGTATAACCAACAAATTTAAAAGTCAAGTGAGTCATTAGGGAAATGCAAATTAAAGCCACAATGAGATACTACCTAACATCCACTAAAATTGCCACAATAAAAAAAACATAGTAAGTGTCAGTGAGGATATTGAGAAATTGTAACATTCACACACTGCTGGTGAGAATGTAAAATGGTGCCACAACTTTGGAAAACAGCTTGGCAATTTCTTAAAACATTAAACATAAACTTACCATACAGCCTAGTGGTTCCACTCCTAGGAATCTACCCAAATGAAAACACGCCCACACAAAACCTTGTATGTGAATGTTCACAGCAGCATTATTCATAATTGGCAAAGATGGGAAACAACCCAAATGTCCATCATGGAATACTATCCAGCAATAAAAAGGAATAAATTACTGATACATCCTACAATATGAATAAACTTCAAAAACATACAAAGTAGAAGAAGCCAAAAGCAAAAAGCTACATATTGTGTAATTCCACTTACATAAAATATCCAGAAAAAGCAGCAAAATAAGTTTCTAACATCATTACCTTTTACTGAGTACCACTATATTCCAGTACTTTATATCTTAAAGGAAAAGCTTATTGGCAAACTTCAACATCATTGACTATCACTTTAATTTATATTTCAAAATTTTACTTTGCAGTTTTAACCAAATAAATATTATAATAGTGATGAGCACATGAGTGCTCAGGATTTATCTAGTTTATACACATTCAATGCTTTTTAATTCTTTCTCTTGCTGCTTGACTTTGGTCTATTTTAATTATCAATTAAGTACCCCCACTCAAAACAGGCAAGGCAGGGGAACATAACTGTCAAATTCTGTAGTATAACAAATAGTGGTGATGAATGCTTAAATAACAAAATACTTTTTTAAACTATGCATTCCAGTGATCCATGGATAACCAAGATTTGGTGATAAAAAACAAGATTCATTCTAATTTCTCCCAATTCCCTTAAGGAACTCAGAAAAAGATAGTGTCCCAAGGACTAGAGAAATAAGAATTGGTAATAGACTGCCTATTAAAAGCATATGTGTATAGGAAAGTTTATTTTCTTCTAAACTCTACATTTGTTTTGTCAATAAAATGACATTTTGTTTTTAGTTTAGTATCCAGAGGCTTTCTGGTGATTACAGAGTTTTAAAGGCCTCAAATTATATCTGAATTGCAAAGTTAAGAATCAAAAAAAAAAAAAGGTTACAGAAGAGTCAGAAAATGTGAATTTATCTTCTGAGTCAGAACACTAACGAAATACTACTTAGTCCAGGAAATAGCTATTTTGTAAAATAAAATGTTTTCATGTATTACACTCTTTTCTGTAAAGCTGGTTAGTACTGTGCATTTTAAACTGTAACACTGAGATTCAACAAAAGATAAAGTAGGGAATCTTAAAAGATATATTCCAACACTATAATTAGAAAACATAAGAAATGGCGCTCAAAATGAAGAAGTTAAATGTGCTTCTGTATCAACCTTAACTGCAAAACTGAAGACGAGATGGAACACACATGCTCACGAGAGGGGCACAAAAGAATCCACTGGGGCGCATCTTAGATTTACTTTTTATTTCGCCTTTTTTAACAAAATTGTTGTATAAGGTACATAACATACTAGAAGTATATAATTTATAAGGAAATAGATGCTGGGTTATGTACTCAACATTTTATTACTGTTAAGATGTGTAACCAAAAACCACTCTTCTAAGGAACGGACTGACTAGTAGGGTTACTATTATGTCACATTAGAATTAAGTAGTCACATTTTTCCATTATTCTGTGATAACTTTGTACTGAATGGAGCAGCTCAGATACTTTACAGAAAGAATTATTATCACCAAGGGCAAACCTTTATAGTTTATAAAGACCTTTATAGTTTACAATGTTTTCATGTATGTTATCTCATGGAATACCCACAGCCACTTAGTATCATTACTAATTGATCTGACATATTCAGTAACAGTTTCTCGAAAGCATTTGTAAACACTATTTGTATTTATTATTATTAGAAGTAAAAATTAGCTGTGAAGCTAATGAGAGGAGAAAATATTTTAAAGACTGTAAGTAAATTGAAGCACAAAGAAATATGTTTTAGAAGAGTTAATCCTCCACAAAAAAAAGTTTGGAAACCATTCAACAAGAATTATATAAAAGGACAGTTAACTGTCTCTTCCCCTGATAGCCTTTACCACCTTTATTCTTTAGTTTTTAAAGACAAGCTTAGGATCTTCTCAGCATAAACAAAGAAATGACCACCAGGGAAGTGAGGTTAAAGACTCTGCAATTACTCAACTGGAGAAAATTAAGGGTAGATTTAATAACTGACTCTATACATAAGTTCCGCTTTATGGAGGACAGTGACAAGATGTTTTACTAAAATTAAAATAAGAGGATACAAGTTGAAGCTGGCTACTGACAAAATTACTATAGAAAAAAAAAAATCACAAAATTTTTGAGTGAAAATTCAGAGGAAAACTTAAGGACCTCTATCAAAAGGAATTTTTGTAAACAGGATAGTTTCCTATTAAATGAGATCAGTTAAGTGTACCAAGGATGCCTGTAAGAGATCAAAAGTTTGAATGCAGTTCTTCAGAAGTATGCATCTGTGTATGCCACTAACTAAACTTCACTAATCTGGTAGCACCCCTCTCAATAAATTAATGCATTGTTATTTACCTTAAAGAAGCGGATTTCTTTTACCAAACTGAGGGGTTGATAATGGTTAGGTTACTGGAATTAATAATCTTCATAATGAATGGCAGCAGGTAAAATTTAGATCAGAAGTTATCAGTTTCCAGTAAAGGAAATCTAATATGACTGCCATTGTCCAGCAAGTCTGTTACTTTGTTTTAGGTTAAAGACATAGGCTAACTTGTTACTGATTTATGTACCAAGGCAATGGGTACATTTATGAATGACAAAATGATGAAATGCCTAAGAAGCAATAAACCAAAAGTTAAGATTTAAAAGTATAAAAAAAGACAACCATTTTCCCTTTGTTAAAATTTGACAATTTTTTAAAGACCTAAGGAAATCTGGATGTATTACAATTCTAAGAACCAAGAATACCGAGGGCATAAATTCAGGAATTTAAAGCTTTTGCTGTTTCAATACTTTGAATAGTTAAGAAAGGTTTAATTCTAACATTACCATTGGAGCAGATGGTCGATTTGATGACTGTCCTTCACTGTTCCCTGCATGCTGGATTAACCCACTAGGATTTGAAGACTGTGTTATAGGAAGCTGGGTACTGGATGCAGGTTGCTGAGATAATTCTACTTTGTAACTCTTATTTGATCCATCCAATCTGCTACTTCTCTCTATGGCAATCAGGTCTCGAATTTTTTGCAGCTGCTCCACTGAAGCTTTTTTAGGAAAGATAAGATGTGTTTCTCCCTGGAATTTATAAAATTGGGAAAAATTTTAACCTCTGCTTTATACTGACAGTCATTCATATATATCTATAAAATGAAATCAATACCACAGAATACATCATATTTTAACAATCATTCTGTTTTCCTACCATTATGGTACCTTTTTTTAAATAGTCAAAGGTAAAAAGTGCCTATATATGAACCAGGAAGTTAAGAAAATTGGGTCTCCTCCTTTGCATATAATGCTTAGCTTATCTGATTGGTTCAAAGGCCGTTAGAAAAATCTTTTCTTTTAGAAATAATAAGTCACAAAGTCTCATAAGAATTATAAAAATGCACATTCCTATCTTCTCTGCAATAGTATATGATACTACTATTCTCTGTGAAATTCCTTATGAAATAATAGTAATTACTAGAGATGCAGCCATATAAAATGATCCGGGGTCAAGAAGTTATATATATAACAACCTTTGAATCTCCTAAACCCAAGACCTTAAAGAATAGCTACATGATTAGAAGTTTGGATATAGGGTCCACTAATTTTTCCAAGAAAACAAGAAGTACAGCCTGATGGTCAATTCAAAACTATGGATTGCTAACAGTACTACAAAGGTGGTCCAAACAAAACAATCAAACAAAAATCCCGTTCTTCAAGTGGTGATTCATTTAATAAACACCCATCATATAATCAGAGTGCTTTAAGATACAACAAACATTACAACAAAGCTCACATTGTAAAACAGTCAGCAAATTACAAAACAAAAGTTAAATGAAAATATCTTCAATCAAGTTTCAAGACACTGAGAAGCAACAGTGTTAAAATAATTAATTCCACCAACTGCATATGAGATAAAATGACTGTTAACGTGTAGTAGACAGACTTGCAGATTTTAAGCTTAATTTAAGTTAAGCTTCACAACTGAGAATGACCTATTTCCCTGGTGATGGCAGACCTATCAGAATCAACTGACCAACACATTTCTCACTAATGACATGAAAATTAATTCCATATGAATCCCTTTTAAAAAGCTAGAAGAGGCCATTAAGCTCTATATATTCATTACCCATAATAGCTGTAAAAACAAAACTATCATTTATTGTGTTCATGTGTTCTAGGTGCTATGCTAAACATTTTATGTATGTTATCTCAAGTAATCCTCACAATCACCCTGAAATGTAGGTATTAGGTTTATCACTATTCTTTATATGAAAATATGAAAGCTCAGAAAAGTAAAATAATCTGCCTGATGCTACAGAATAATTGTTGGAGTAAACCTTAATTGTTAAGCTATAACTGACTACATCTTAAACTGAACAGAGACCAAAAACCATAAGCTTGTACTAATAGTTGGAAGTGTTGAGCAAAAAGAGAATATTTCTACAGCTGTGATGACATATATGATTAGCATTGGATCACAATGATTTTCCAACATTAGAAAGGAACCACCTCACATCTCTGATGAGGTTTCTCTTTAGAAACCAGGTATCTAGGTTAAAACCAAATACGGATGCTTCCCATCTCATACCGTTAGTTGAGCAGCACTGAGAGAGGTAGAAGACACCATGGGCCAAGGTGGAAATCCAGCATAACAGCTATCTGGATCTATGTTCAGTCCATACCACAGAGAAGGCCCTGATAAGACAGAGATGCTGCTTGTGCCTTGCTCCCCTCCCTTCTAACTTTTCAGGACCAGTCCTAAAAGAATGTAGGATTATGGCCAAAGTGTCTATACCAAAAAGTTTCATCAACAGCACTGTATTTTCACAAAAGGACAAAATGACAGGCTTAATGCACTAGATCCAGTAACACTTTAAGAAATTAATGAGAATTCCAGTATTTAACAAAATCCGTATTTCTCAACACATTTTTGCTAAGACAATTCTCACTGTCAGATGTTAAGCAAACCTGGCTCCTGCCCACTAAATGCTGGTAATATCTTTTAGTCACCAAAACAACCAAAACTGCCCTCCTCCTATGGTACCTGATGAGAACCACTCCACTCATGAAGCCGGAGGAGTCGCATATCCATGCGGATCCCAGTCTTTCTCAACCTCCCTCTCAAAATTTTCACAAAGAATGTAGCCTCAGAGGCAAGTAGGCCCAAAAGTACCCAGGATTTTAATATATACCCGAACATTTTGGGGATGGGTCTGAGATTCCTACTTCATCTTAAAGCCTACTGAGTTTCTTTCTAATGGTAGAGTTCAATTGCAATGCCATTGGTTCCTTCTGCAACTTAGCCACACTGATAAAACATTTATTGCAGGGGTGCCTGGGTGGTTCAGTTGGTTAAGTGACTGCCTTTGGCTTAGGTCATGATCCCAGGGTCCTGGGATCCAGCCCCACATCGGGATCCCTGCTCCTCGGGGCGCCTGTTTCTCCCTCTCCCTCTGCCTGCCGCTCCCCGTTTGTGCTTTCTCTCGCTCTGTCAAATAAATAAATAAAATCTTAAAAAAAAAAATTTATTGCAGATGGGTCCTGAGGTATGACATCTGAAGACAATCAGAAATTTGAAGTACAAATTAGTCTGATCAAAGCATGTTCATCTTTTCTGAAATTGTCGCTCCATTTGTGTCAAATACTACTGCAAGTCTCAATCTAGCTTGTTACCTGGCACTGGTGTGCCCAACCTTTGGGTCTGTCTGAGACGGGTTTTCTAGAATGTGGGATTTTGAGTACTAAACCCAGGACAGCCCCAGGCAAACTGGGATGGTTGTCATCATACCCGGCACTCAAATATTTGTTGAATGAAAAGACAAATATGACTCCACAGAATATGTGACACTTCAAAACTGAGAAATCAGTAGTTTCCAGTTGTCATTTACTAAATTTTTCTGTCTTTTAACTCAAAAGTCTGTATTTCCTTGAACAAAATCAGCAATGTTCTCAATTTTTCCTCTTATCCTTTTAAGTTCTTTATGTTCAGATGTCGGTAACTAACAAGCAGATGACAACATAATTTATATCTCCAGGCTGACCTCTCCTTTTGAGTTACAGACTCATATATCCAACTGCCTACTTGTTATCTCTACTTGAATGGTTAACAGTGTATCAGTTATAATCATCCAAAAGAGGAAGTAGTGATTTCTCCTGGCATCTGCTACACTCCAAGATTTCTCAATCTGAATTAATGGTTACTTGCATCCACTTAGATGCTCAAACCAAAGCCTAGTAGTATCCGATTCCTTCCTTTCCCTTGTGCCCCACAATCAATTCATCAAGTCCTGCAGGCTCTGCTTAAAAAAAAAAATTCTCGATGCCTCTACTTTTCCCCCATCTCCACTGCCAACAGTCTTTAATTCAACAAATGTTTACTGTGTGCCTCAATGTATTCTAGGAGCTAGCAAGAGGGGACAAAAAGATAAAAGGCTCTGCCCTCACGGAACCATTTTCAAACCATTTTTGTTTCTCCTTTAGGCTGATAAAAGCTTTCTAACTGGTCTCCCTGCTTCATCTCTTGCCCCCACCCCAGAACATCCAGAACATTCACTTTACAACAGCTAAAATATTATTCCATACCTAGAACCTTCCTATGGTTTCCCATCTCACTTAGAATGAAGTCCAAGTCTTTATCACAGTCCTCAAAACCGCACACCCTGGATTCTGCTGGCCTGTGTAGCTACTTTCTGTGCCAAAGCTAATCCTGCTAGAAGTCTGTTGCATATGTGAATCCTTCTATTTGAGGTACTCTTACCTGAGGGCTTCAGGTACCTGAAATGCTTCTTTTCATTTAGGTCCCAGCTCAAATATTATCTCCTGAAAGGCTTTCCCTAACCACTCATTCTTACGTAGCTGCCCACCTCTACAGTTGCTTTTTATATCACCATGCCGTATTTTCCTCTTTGCACTCATCTTTGCTTTCATGTCTACTGTTTGTCTAACCTATTAGAACCAGGCTCCATGTGAGATGGGATCTATTTCTCTAGTTCACTACTATACCCTTCAGGGCCTGGAACAGAATCTGGGGAGAAAAGCAGAGAGGCAGGAAGGAAAGTACTTCTTATGGCAACTCAGCAGATCTCTTTAACAATTTCTATAGCCTTGACATTTCTGACTGCTATGGACTACCGTGTATCCACAACCTGGTTCAAGTTCTTTCAGTATTCCATAAACTAAAAATGGTTAAGCATATATACATAAAGAAAATTGACAATATTGATAACTACTTTCATTGTGTCATAAAATTAAGCTATGTACTGGGGCGCCTGGGTGGCTGAGTTGGTTAAGTGGCTGCCTTCGGCTCAGGTCATGATCCCAGAATCCTGGGATCGAGCCCCACATCAGGCTCCCTGCTCAGTGGAGAGCCTGCTTCTCCCTCTCCCTCTGCCTGCCTCTTTGCCTACTTGTGCTCTCTCTGTCAAATAAATAAAATCTTTTAAAAAAAAATTAGCTATGTACAAGATTCCAGAAGATGAAAACACCAAACTTTTATTTTGATTAAAAAACAAAAAAACATATTGAGATTCTTCTCTTCTGTCACAGAAGAAATCCCTTACATGTGGCAACTGAACTCAGCTTTTCTGTATTTACTCTTTTCATTTCTTACTGGAGACGGACAGCTAGATCCTACTAGAATTCGTGTGTACTTACAAATCAGATTTTTGCTAAAAGTCTAAAATGACCCACAATTTGGTCTTTGGGTTGTATGTCTGACCTCCCTGTTCTAAAGGATTAAAACTTGTAAGAATTTTCCCTGTGGGAGAGTTGTTATATTTTACTGTGATTTTAAAATATATTTACTGTGACTTTTAAATGTCTAATAGATGAAGAAGTAACTAGTTCTGCAGATTTCCAAAATGATCCATTAATTTAAAAATATTATCTTATTTAGATAATTATCCATCAACATTATAATAAATTCTTTATACATGAACGGGGGAGAAGAAACCCTTCAACTTACCTCTTCAAAGCCCATTTCAAATAAACATTCAACAGCTCCTCTGACAGGTAAGAGTCTAGTAGAAAAAGCTGTGTTTCCAATCCGGATAGATCTATATTTTTCATCATTAGGGTTTCTGATTTAAATAGAAAAAGTTTGATTATCTATAACAATTTATACTTTCCACAGTGTTTTTGCACTCCTTTTTACATTTTATATTGGCTACACTGCTACAAGGTATTATAGTTCCCAACTTTAAAGAAATAGGAAGCACAGCCCGGAAAAACAGCCTGATTCTGTGATTCTTACCTCAGTATACATTTACTACCACCTTACTGTTTAATTTCATAGCTGATAATATTAATGCTTCCATAAGGGAAACCCATGCAACATTTTCATTCTGTGCTGTTAAAGCCACATACCTTTATGAGTTTTTAGGTTGCTAAGAAAAAAATCTAGGTAAGCTCCAGACATGGGTGTAGGTTTTGCCTATTTTGTTCTGATGGATCTCAATCATCACGAATGGTGCCTGATGCATAGATGATAGTTAATAAATACTTGTGAAATGAATGAATAAAAAAACCTAAGAAGCTATATAAAAATGGATCACAGTTCCTCAAACACTTTACCTCTGACAAATACAAACCCAGGTATACCTTAGAGTCACTTGATTTTCTTTCTTCCCTAGACCAATGATTGCTTTTACTCTTAAGTTCTGTTTCAGCTTAAGATACATTTTTGTCACAGCCAATTTTTTTTTTTACCATGATTAAGATTTTGAATAGCATACATGGGATGAGACCAGCATATGAAAGGCTTTGAGATTTTTAATAACCTTGATAAATCAGAAAGGCTGTTTAAAAAATCAGAAAAAAATACAAGGTTAAGATAATCACAGTATTGGGGCACTTGGGTGGGGCTGTCAGTTAAGCGTCTGCCTTTGGCTCAGGTCATGATCCCGGGGTCCTGGGATCGACGTCGGGCTCCCTGCTCAGCTCAGCGGGGAGTCTGCTTCTCCCTCTCCCTGCTCATGTTCTCTCTCAAATAAATTAATTTAAAAAAAAAAAAGAATCACAGTATTACACTCAAAAAGCCTTCAGAACATAATTAGGATGATGAGTAATTTTTTTTTTTTAAAGATTTTTATTTATTTATTTGACAGAGAGAGAGATAGCGAGAGCAGGAACATAAGCAGGGGGAGTGGGAGAGGGAGAAGCAGGCTTCCTGCCAAGCAAGGAGCCCGATGTGGGACTTGATCCCAGGACCCTGGGATCATGACCTGAGCCGGAGGCAGACGCTTAACGACTGAGCCACCCAGGCGCCCGATGAGTAATTTTTTAATAAGATTTTATTTATTTATTTGTCAGAGAGAGCACGCACAAGCAGGAGGAGTGGCAGGCAGAGGGAGAAGTAGGCCACCGCTGAGCAAGGAGCCTGATGGGGGACTCAATCCCAGGACCCAGGGATCATGACCTCAGCCAAAGGCAGACACTTAACCAACTGAGCCACCCAGGTGTCCCGATGAGTAGATTTCATATCTGACACAAACCCCCTCACAATAGTAGTGGCTTCTATTAGCACTATTTTAAGAAGGATTCTGAGGCTGTGTCAGGGTCCATAGGAAGGAGTGCTGAGGCCATCTGCCTGGGGTATGGAATGGGGATGGTGGACAAAGGCTAGCAACTCATTAACCATTCTTGTCCTAATTTAATTGTGGAAATTTCAACATATTTCACATTTGTTTTCCATCAAGCAACTCTCTATTGCCAAACTGTCATAAATACATGAATCTGCTTTAAACTTTTCCTTAATTTCAAAAATTATGCAAGTTTATTACAGAATATTCAGAGATAAAGCTCTAAAATAGTGTTATTCAGAATGTCCACAGACTGGTGCCCATCTATAAACTTCTTGCTAGTCATTCATGAGAAGTGCAGAAATTGAGACTACTCAGCAATTTTTCTAACAATTTGATTTGCCATGAAATTTTTATTGTACTTTACAAAGTTATAGATCCACAAAAAATTGGAAATTAAAAACAAAAACACTGTTCTTCAACAGAGGTCTTTTGAGCATCACAGGTGGTTGAAAAACACAAAGAAAAATATATGCTCTATTCTTTTATTCTGTGTTTTAAATGAGTTTCCCAACCTTGGCACTGTTGACATTTGAGGTCTTTGCTGTAGGGGACTGCCCTGAGCACAGCAAGATAATTAGCAACCTGGCTTTTATGCCACATTATATTGTAAGTGTGCCTCCTTTTCTTACCACTTAAACAAAAAACATTAAACTATACAATACTCCTACATTTATCAATGCCAGTTATAGATAAATGAAGCATCTTTTCATGATATTCAACACATTTCACAGGGTCATAAACATCAGTACCACCAGGATGATATAATCTACTGGTGCAAAACTGCCTGATTTTTTTTTTTTTAACCTATTTTTTCTCCAATAGCTTCCAGATTTTTACATGATCAAAGTCTTTCTCTGGCTCTAATTTTCTAGTTTTTCCTCCCTCTTTCACCACTGTTTAAAAATTCTTATAAAACCTAGACTAGTTGATCTGATACAGCTTATTATTTTGATACATGTTTCAAAGTAAATCATGGTCTAGTCTAGTCAGCAATTTTCTACCTTTTAACATCTACGGGCCTTACGTACCATTTATCTGTTTTTCTCACTAAAAACATAATGCAAACAAACAAACAAAAAACCCCAAAAAACCCAACAGTAATGTCCAGTTACTCAAATCCTATCTTCCTCTTTTTAAATATGTTGGGCACACCAGCCATAGTACTGAACACACAATAGTGCCAAAAGTTCGTCCTGAAGCCCTCACAGGCTTAGAGAACTGGGCCATAAAGCCATTAGAGCTCAAATCCAACAGATCCTATTTCCTACCCTTGGAAAAGTACCACTTTCTAAATCTCTAGCTTCACAGCATCATCCCAGCGCATCCACCATCCTTGAACTCATTACTATTCTCCTTATCTTGCAGTGTCTAAAGTACCCCTAAGGATCACCTTTATTTTTGCTTCATTTTCTTCTTCCATTAACTTAATTTCCTGTGCAGACTTTTCTCAAATATTTTTTGCTGTAATTCTTCAATGTGCAATGTTTCTACCTCTGCTGACCCTTAACTATTTCTGCAACTTGTAATATTTATCTTGCTTGTTAGCAATAATTTTGCACCCTTTTTTTTTTTTTTGGTTGTTTGTTGGACGATGTTGAAAGAATGGGACCTTGAACGGGCAGCAAAATGTCCTGACCCACTCACCACCACTTTGAACATATTTTGGTGTCTTCCTAGTTGTCTTACCCCCTAGTTGTCTTTGTTTTTACAACTGAATGGTAGAAAAAAGTCATGCTTTTCACCTTGAAAGTTATAATCGACCATATAATTAAGATTTTAAGACACACTGGGGCACCTGGGTGGCTCAGTCAGTTGAGAGTCCGGCTCTTGGTTTCAGCTCAGGTCATGATCTTGGAATCATGGGATTAAGCCCCATGTTGGGCTCTGTGCTCAGCATGGGGTCTGCGTGGGATTCTTTTCCTGTTCCTTTCCCTTCTGAGCCCCAGCTCCCCACCCCCGCTCTCTAAAATAAATTAAAAAACAAAATCTTTAAAAAAAGATTTTTTTTTTTTAAAGATTTTATTTATTTGAGATAGAGAGCATGCACATAAGCAGGGGATATAGCAGAGGAGGAGGGAGAAGCAGGCTCCCTGCTGAGTAGGGAGCCCTATGCAGGGCTTGATGAAGGGCTTGTTCCTAAGACCCTGGGATCATGACCTGAGCCAAAGGCAGACACTTAACTGACTGAGCCACCCAGGCACCCAAAAAAGATTTTAAGACATGTAGCTTCCTACTGAGGTCACAGACTCAGAAAAAAGAAAAACTTAAATGTTTCTATTTCAGAATTTCAGAAATGCTGATAATTAAATATATCTAACCATTTACTAGCCCTCTACCTCTTTAGAATGCATAATCTCAGAAAGGGTTTACATAAATGGAAATTTAGTACATGAGAGATCCTATAATCTTGTATTTTTATTACTAATCAAAAAGGTGGTTTGTAGGCCATTTAAAAAAATGTTTCTAGGGGCGCCTGGGTGGCTCAGTCGGTTAAGCGACTGCCTTCGGCTCAGGTCATGATCCTGGAGTCCCGGGATCGAGTCCCGCATCGGGCTCCCTGCTCAGCGGGGAGTCTGCTTCTCCCTCTGACCCTCTTCCCTCTCGTGCTCTCTGTCTCTCATTCTCTCTCGCAAATAAATAAATAAAATCTTTAAAAAAAAAAAGTTTCTAGTACTTCTGAAAATCTATCATTCTGAGATACATGTAAATTTTTCAAAAACATCTTTAGAACCATCTGGGAACCATCTCTGGCTCTAACTCTACCATTCTATATAGCTGACAAAAAGGGAAACACACATAATCTAGCTTGTTCAACATGAAAAACTGAATAATGGTAACAACAGATAACATGTGTGCCTTCATTCCTCTTTTGCAACAATCCTATAATGCAGGCATTTTTCTTTCCTCTTAAAAATGAGGAAACTGAAAAAAAATGAGGAAACTGAAACCCAGAGACTTTACATAAATTGCCTATAACCACACTCCTAGGAAATGGTTGACTGGGATTTAAATGCACTGGTCTTACTACAAAGCTTACATACTCCCCACCATACAATATGCCAACAAACTCACCAATCCTCTCTAAATTTCTCCAGTTGTCAACAGTCACCTAGATTAGAAACCTGAAGTTATTTGGGTTATTTTGTCTCCTCTCTTTACCGGCTCTACTCCTTGCATTCAGTCATCAAGAACTGCCAATCCCTGCCTCTGATAGTTCTTTCTCTATTCTATCCCCATTTATGCTTATGATTACTGTAATAGCTTCACAAATGAAACCCATGCCTTGTGTCTTCTTACATCATTATTCTACATGAAACTCCTTCATGTTTCTCTTTGACTCTAGAAAGTACAATCATTTTCTTTTGCCTCTTACGTCAAATATATGTTCTCTGCTATTCCATGAACCCATCCCATCTTACCAAACCTCCATTCTCAAAACTCTGCCACACTAGGTCCCTGGACTATCTCCAGACATAAACATGTAACTGCTTGAACAC